GATCAAATGGGGATTAAATAGATGCCTGCTATTCCGTCGTGAAAACGGCCACACTGAACCTAATCACTGGCGGATCCAGGCTTGCGTTTTGGGGGGGCCAACTCGTGCAGGAGCCAAACCTAGGGTACCCCCAAATCCTGTTTTCTCATCGGATTTAGGCCACTTATTTTTCGTCACAGCCCTGACACTATGAATATTTTTTTCTCAACCAAAAAGAAAAATATTTAAATGGTAGCCCACCCGACCCATGCCTTTATATTACTTTGTAAACACTTACCATTGCTTTTGTCGACCAGTTAACCCGCTTCGCGTCAGTGCTTGGGTCCCTTTGCGGGCCGGGAGGTGGTAAAACACCCCCTGTCTAACTCGGCTCCTGGGCCACGCACTGATTGAACTATGTTTCATTATCGTTTGGGGGAGGAGGCAAACGGGCCACTTTAGGCCTCTGGGAAGGGGGCATGGCCCTAAATGCCCCCTCCCTGGATCCGCCAGTGTAAGAGACCATTGGAGCTGCAGAATTGGGTACCTCAGACGTCAGGGTACGCCCTCAGATGTATGGACTCGCATGGAGACCTCTTATGCTATAGTGGACTGAAAGGACCCAAAGGAGCCCGTCTAGGGCTCCCGGAGATAGACGTGGGCCCTCAGGAGCCCGCCAGAGCCCCCAATGAGGGATAAGTGAGGGATACCAAGTGCCTGCAATTGCATATTGCATAAATCATAACGCCTTTACAAATCAATATATTATGTATCAGTGGCAGATCCAAGGGGGTCATGACCCCCCTTGGTGTCCGGGGCACCACAGGCCTGTCAGGGGCACCACCGGCCTAGCAGGGGCACCACCAGCCCGCCAGGGGCACCACAGGCCTAGCAAGGGCACCACGGGCGTGTGAGGGGCCCCACAGGCTTGTCAGGGGCACCCCAGGTCTGTCAGGGACACCAGAGACATGCCAGGGGCACCACCGGCCTCGCAGGGGCACCATGGGTCTGTCAGGGGCACCAGAGGCCTAGCAGGGGTACCACAGGCCTTACAGGGGCACCACCGGCCTTGCAGGGGCACCTTGGGCCTGTCAGGGGCACCACAGTTCTGTCAGGGCCCAGGGGCACCAGCGGCCTAGCAGGGGCACCACAGGCCTGCCAGGGGCACCACCGGTCTAGCAGGGGCACCACCGGCCTCGCAGGGGCACCATGGGCCTGTCAGCGGCCCCACCGGCCTCGCAGGGGCACCACCGGCCTCGCAGGCATCACGGCATCACGCAGAGGCACCTTGGGCCTGTCGGGGGCATCACGGGCCTGTTGGGGGCACTTTAACCCTAGGCCCGCCAGAGGCACCACAGGCCTGCCAGGGTCCAGGGGCACCACAGGCCTAGCAAGAGCACCACGGGCCTGTCAGGGGCACCTCAGGCTCCCGTGTCCCCCCCTGGATCCGCCAGTGATGCCACACCACGCGAAACACCGCCAACTACCAGCTGCCGCGCCATAAACACGTGCCAACAACAGTCTTTTTTTGAAGGTCGACTCCGCTCGCGCAATTTTTGACTGACCCACACTGCTACCATATTGCTTCCATATTATGCTGTGGAAAGGTTTACTTCACCAAGTGGCTAAAAACCTCCATCAAGGTATATTTTCTTAGCAATTTTTCTGACGTTTTGGAGGGGGCCAAACAGGCCACTTTAGGCCTTTGGGGGGGGGGGCATGGCCCTAAATGCCCCCCCCCCCCCCCTGGATCCGCCAGTGAACCTAATTTGACCAATTCTGTACCAAATCTGCACCTAATCTGCACCAAATGTGCACAAAATGTGTACCAGATGGCCGTCGTGAAAACGGCTATTATCTATCAAATTTCACAGAAAAATATTCACCGGTTTTCAAGATATTACACTTTAACCTTTGTTTAGTTTTTGGGACCTCCGCTGTTCCTGTGACGTCATTTGGAAGCAATAATTTGGTATCTTAAGAGTGCGGCACTTCCGGCAGCCGTTTTTGGCACACCTGTTTGTTAATCTTTTCCGAACATGTTGTGAAAAATTCAGACCCAGGTCGCTTAAAGTCAGGTCACCATGTCACGCCAAGTGACCTCACCTCAGAAAAAAAAAACTAGAATGCTCGTCATAGCTACACCGACTGAACGATTGCCTTGAAACTTTCAGAGATTGATAAGAGTAACAATATCTATAAAACGTTCATCTCGGAATTTTGATATCGTTGGCCTAAGGTCAGGTCAATTTTGCGGCCTCTCCATTATAATTCAATTGGAGAAAATTGAAAAGCGTCTCTTTTGCACGAACGCCATTCTAGACACGCTCAAATATCGGGATGCAGGTAAAATTGACACACTGAACCGGAAAATGGCACCTGTGATCCCTCGTTATGTCCCCGAGGTCATCTCATGTCACGAATAGTATCTAACAATTTTTCGCTAATAACTTCTGATAGAGGCATGCTAGAGTGATGAAAACGCCTTAGATGTGTTCGGCTCGACGTGGCGGATCGACTGATATGCAGCGTGACCTTTTCCGGTCAGGTCATGACCTTGACCTGAGGTCAAATTTTCAAGTTAACCTTTCAAGGTCAAATTATAATTCATTCAAAGCTTCTCGACAAGAGGAACATGATGCTGGCAAACGTAATGTAATGGCTCTTTTGAGTCCAAAGTTATTGCCGAAAAAACAATTTTCGTAAAAACGGCTATTTTTGGCGTTTTCGTTCTCTGGAGGCTAAACCATTGACCTGAGGTCAGATATGATGACATGTTGGCGAAAGAGCCGCGGTGCTGTAGCTCTATCGGTTCCCGAGGTAACCCTTGGCAGTTTCCAAGATGTTGAAATAGCCAACATTTTACCTTTGGTGACCTCTGGCGACCTGACCTTTGACCTGACCCAAAAAATGACCGAAGTGTTTTCGTCCTTATTTTGGACGTTCCTTCGATTGCCGCTTACCGCTATGTGGCCCAGGAACCGAGTTAGAAGGGAGTGTTCAGACACCCCCCCCCCCCCGGCCCGGCGCGAAAGTCTCGGAGCACCGGCCCGGCGCGGGTTAAATGATTATTTTTGGCGCCTTAACAGTAGCTTACATATTTCTCTGTTGACTCCTGCAGAGGCTCACTTATACGGTCATAGGTCAGTGACCTGACCTGACCTGAAAATGCGGTTAGTGTCACAAGATATGGTTCCACACTTCACTCGATTTTATAACATCGAGGTAAGTGTCAAAGCCTTTTCAACTAATATTTTACAGAATTTTTTTTCAATAGTAGTATGAAAAATGTTATATACTAGTTTTACCTAAACCAATTTCATGGCCGCATAAAAAAAAACATATAATTAGACTTTTTATCGTTGTAGGTCACGATGGGAGCATTGGCTTAGGCTCGGCTGATAAATTATCCGGCCTGTCCCACCGTGGCAAGTCACGTGAGTCATTTGACCTTAATGGCCAAAAGGCGCCGTGTATGCACACGTGAGTTGCATGTCGAGTAAGCCAGCTCATAGTCAGCATTTATGCACGTTTGTTAGATTAGGAAAATGGATGAAATTATGCTTTACCGGCTGCTTTTACATAGACAGAATACGCTTATGCATTGCATTAAAAACAAAATAATATGTAAATAAAAATAGTTATTGCTAGTTTAGTGGCCAATATTCACTATACACCTTACGCTGCATAGCACACATTGGCTTAATGTTCATAGCCAGACACTATCTACATACTTATATATGGTAAAGTTACTGTCGCCTATCCACTGTCCAGACCCGATCAATAGCCGGTAGTTTCTGTCGTTTCAGTCTGTCCACTCCAGACGTTCCACACCCCTGGATTGGTTCCTACAGCGGCGTCCCGGACCGCGCTAGGAGGCCGCGAACACCCTCCAATTTTCCATCGGCTGTGTCCGGCGGGCCGGAACAGACGAAATGAGCCGAACCGCATGTCGACGCCGTCGACGGAGCATCGCGTCGACCGAGGGGGATCGGCGGGGGGGGGGGGGGGCGGGTCGACCAGCGGACCTGACTGCGGCTATGGCCCACCACGATCCTCCATGACAAATGCCAGACGTGTAATAGAACATTCCAGTGTATCGGCGACGTGTGCTGGATGTGTGAGCGCAAATGCGATAGGTGCACGAAATGGTGTGCTCCACGGCAACGCTGCATTGCAGCTCATCAACAACAGCGCAGCTGCTCTGGAGCTGTTCCCGTCATAAATGAATATAATAGACATGCTATACAATTACCTAATTACCAATCAATGAATGAAGTCACTGATAACTGCATACCAAATAGGTATATGTCCATACATTCTGAGTAATATACGCTAATAACTATATCGGAAATACACCAAAAAAAAAGCTTAATGGTAAAATCGACAGCTCTGCGTTGCAAGATGTTGAACAGTAAAATATGGATCTGACGCTCTGACGTGGTGCATGCCTTCGTCAGCAATGTTCAGCACTGACGTCTGACGTAAAATTATTACGCAGTAATTTGCATGCTCATTGCTCAACACTGTAGGCATTTTGTAATTTGACGTTTTTGACTTATCGGTGAGGGCTATTTATAGATACCAACCTGACGATCAATCGTCTGGCATACCGGTGATAAACGTTCAGGACATAGAAGCGGGCATAATCAAAATGCTACAGCGGCCACGACAATTAACTCCCCAGCAGCACCGCCCCCCCCCCCCCCATTTTCATTCAGCAAGTAATATATAGCGTTATACCATTCCCGCTACCCCGTAACTAAGAAAGCAGTGAACGTTTCATGACTATTGTCACTTCAACAACAAACAAGACGGTAATTAGAATCAAATTCATCTCCATCGCAGTCATAGATGAGGCGGTCACTGACCAATAGACCGAGGCAGCTCCTATTTCCCGTCTCGTTTTCTGCGCATCGGCGGGTCCCAGAGGCGGCGACACCAGACACCACCCGAGAACCGCATCAGCTGACCGCGCCGTCCTGCCCTGGGGCGGTCACGTGACCGGCCGACTGGCGAGCCGGCCGTCCGTCCCCAGAGAGGTCGAGAGGCGCCACACCGGTGCTGGCCGCTGCGGCGATCGGGGAGCAGTCGAATGTATGTCGGGCAGTCGTTCACCGGCCGGAGGGACCTTACAGCGCGCACCCAGCAACCAGGTGAGTTGTGGGGGTTTACTTATATTGCAGTGGGTGTAAATATGCGAAAGACTGTGTGGTGTTCAATTGCATCGATTTGCGTTGGTTTCATGGTGACAGCTTTGTCCGTTATACTGTTATAGGTAGGTGACTTCGCTGTGCTGCTGGTAGTTGGGTCAGTTTACGGGCCGTCGGTAAACTGTATTCAGGCGGACATGTGGCGTCAGGTACGATAGAGTAATTTGGCATGCATGAGGCTTACATCGACCGAGTCTCGATGTGCCCCACACCTCTGTTGTAGACCTTAATGGCGCTGGGAATGGCTGCGATGATGGACCAATAACAGGCCAAACCACTATTAGAGGTCACAAGCATTAGGCTATATGTGTCACTTGTCACTACGCATTCCAAGTTTATAAGCGCATATTGGTACGGGCTTACAATATACATAGTGAGTAGAAGAACACAATAAACGCTATGCTACCCAGGCTTACCAGTAGTTAACAGACCGTTGTTCAATCAACAGGAACTCTCCCTTCTTTATTTCTTCCTCCTTTCCCCCCCTCTCTCTCTCTCTCTCTCTCTCTCTCTCTCTCTCTCTCTCTCTCTTTCTCTCTTTCTCTCTTTCTCTCTTTCTCTCCTCTCTCTCTCTCTCTCTCTCTCTCTCTCTCTCTCTCTCTCTCTCTCTCTCTCTCTCTCTCTCTCTCTCTCTCTCTCTCTCTCACTCTCTATTCCCTCCTCCTTTACCCTCTTTCTCTCCCTCTCAGCACACTATTCCAATTTGGTCTGAAGCTTTGATTTGACGAGCAGCTCGGCGCATGACCTCAAATGACCTGCTCGATGTTAGATGTACAAGACGACTCGCATGGTCCAAAAAGTAAAATCAAAGCATCTGATCTTGTATTCTGGCGGATCTAGGTAGCGCCCGAAGACGACGAATATTTGCGTTTTTTCGAGAGTAAAAGAAAATTAAGCAACTTTTATGAAATAAAGTTTGTTTTAAATTATACAGTAGTGCGTAAGAAATCTACGGTGAGTTTGTTTTGGACTTAGAGAAACTTTTGGGGATATGCCCATGTTGCCCCCTCCCCTCGCAGTGTCTAAGGCCGCCTTTCTGGACCCACCAGTGACCTTGCAAACGAAATATGAAATCATTACTCAGCAGCCTGGTATCCATTTATCAATTCCATATGGTCGTGGATATAGGTACTTGTTTGTTCAGGCAAATGTGCGGCATTATGCAAAATATTCTCCTTACACTTTTAGGAAGCACCTGTCTTGATTATTTGTGATTTTAGGCCACGGCTTCGGAGGTTATCGGGGCACCAGACGCCACGAACCGAATAATGCGACCATAGAATGCAGCCTAAGGCTCATGTAAATCTCAGACCGACATATCATCACTCGGCACAATTGCGCTGATGATCCAGCGTATTTGTTTCGAAGCTAGCATGCGGTTAGTGTCATAAACTGATGCTCTCGCGCCAGTAGCAAGCACGGTGCTAGTTAGGATCCAGCCGAGTGCGACACTACGGGGGCCTTTTTTGCACCCCACCCCAGTCTGTCAAAGCTCCTGCATGGACTTATGGGCTCAGACATTCCTACCATTCTGCAATAGGAGGCTCTTGAGAAGGAGGTCCCATGAAGTGCTAACCCGCGCATGACTGGGGGGTGGGGGGGGGCTCTACAGAGCCCCCCTCCCGTTTTTCGGCAATATCTTCTAAACCGCTTGACAAATCAACACGAAACTTGCGGTACCCTCAGTGGCATTCATTTGACACCTTGTGTTCAAATTTCAACTTTCTGGCTACCATAGTTTGGCCGAAAATGACGTCAGAGTGACGTCATGTCGGCCGATTTTGATGCAAAATATTGAATTAAGGCAAACGCTCTTAAGAGCTTAGTTTTAAAGCTATATCCAATTTCATTGCATCAGTGGACTACAAATATACGTAGCTATCAAACTGCTATCTCGAATTTTCGACAGTTTGAAAGTTTTGAAAAATATGTTTTTACAATTACCAAAAATATATTTTTTTGATTTTTTTTTCAAAAGTTTTTTGATTTTTCGTAAAAACCGGAATATATGTGATAGAACACACACTGATGAACTATTCTAGCAAGCTTTAGCCTAATATCTTCAAAAATAGCCAAGTTATTAGCATTATTGTCAAAATTTTACAATTATATATTTTTCAAAACCATTTTCAGTACGTTTTCAACATCGTACAGCAATATAAATGGTACTATCGTGTTCCTGAGCTCAAACTGCATCTGATAGGCACCTTTTATGTTGAAAAATTTCATTTTCAATATTTGACCTTTTCTGACCTGAAAGTGGCCTTGCCCTGACCTCTGTTAAATTCAGCTGAAAATGACCTCAAATGACACAGACAGCATTATTTTCGAAATATACAAGTAAAATGGACCATAAAACATGCGTCACGTGATCATATGATATAAAATTTTCGTGACCTAGGATGACCTGGCCTTGACTTGAAAAATTCGAAGTAAAAGTTTGGTACCCTCAGTGTATCTAAGGCATATATCAAGGAGTGCGTAAACCAAAAATGAGCCTGATCGAACTTGTCAGCCGGCGGCCAGAGCCTAAATTGTGAACAAGCAAAAATGCCAATGATTTTTACTTTGACCTGACCTGTGACGTCATCGGTGACCTCGAGGTCAATGAAAATAGGTTTCGTTCGACAGTTTTTCCAGGACTATCAGATACCGTTTGAATTCTGACGATCAGCCCAGTAGTTTCGGAGAATGGAGGGGGCTCTGGAGATCCCCCCCCCCCCAGTCACTCGCTTTATGGAAAATACCCCAGTCATGCGCGGGCTAAGGAAAATACCTGCAAAATTGAAAGTCGAGCCGGCGTCATGAATCAAAATGCAAGATCTTTACCGGCAGAATTTCTTTTCCATCTGTTGCTTTTTTAAAATCGTCTTTCCATATTTCGATTTTTCGTTGTGCCATTTCGGAGTATATACTATCAAAATATTTGCAAATAAGCTATTTCAGCTTTTTTATCATTATTTGGTCAGGCTCACCTCTCCGGGGCGAAATCGAAGATCAAACTCCGAATCATTTTTGTTTGAGCGAAAAGTAAAACGGATTCAAATAGGTACTTCCTGATGTTACATGTTTTGTGTTTACCCTGTCTTTTAACAGGCACAATGTCAGTTTTAGTGACCTCGACCCAGAAAAAAGTATAATGTAAATGGTCGCCTCTCCTACACCGAATCAACGATCGTTCTAAAAAAAAAAATGAGATCACATTAACGTTACCACCATAGGTCAACGGGTGAAAATCACACTACACATTGTTGCACATTCTTTATAAATGGAAAGCCAATAAACTGGGCTTCGATAACTGCGTTGCGGACTCTTGTTCCTTTTGTAATTTCTTAACACATTTTTGTCGAGAACTTTTACAGAATAATGTTGCACACATAAAAAGGCATGCAATCTCTTCTCTATTTCCCTGTCTTTCTGTCTGTCTGTCTGTCTGTCTGTCTGTCTGTCTGTCTGTCTGTCTGTCTGTCTGTCTGTCTGTCTGTCTCTCTCTCTCTCTCTCTCTCTCTCTCTCTCTCTCTCTCTCTCTCTCTCTCTCTCTCTCTCTCTCTCTCTCTCTCTCTATCTCTCTCTCTCTCTCTCTCTCCTGCTCCTCCTCCTTCTCCTTCTCTCTTTCCTTTTCTGCAGATTATTCTTAAATCGCAGTCAGATCGCCAGTCGCTTCGCTGTCACTCGTATAAACTCTCCCTCCCCTTCCCTCCCTCCGGCCATCTGAACACGGCGTCACCGTTTGTTGTTTGAAAATAATATTTCGAAATATCGTTGGGAGTTATCTGACCGGAGCCTTCCCCCTCCCCCGTCTCCGCCGGTCGGCCATACTCTACACTGGTCGTCAGGCGGGGAGTCCTCCCTCCCCCCCCCCCTACACCGGCCGTACTCTGCACTACTCGTCAGGCGGGGAGCCCCCTCCCCCTCTCCCACCTCAGCCGTATACTCTGAACTGGTCGTCGGATGCGGAGCCCCCTCCCTCTCCTCTCAGCGGGCCGTTACACACGTCCATCATTGGAGGCCAATGTAATTCCGCCGCTCAATGGGCGCTGGGTCGCGCCCCGCCGGCCCCGCGGCCCGCCGAGATGGATGTGGGCCCCGCCGGCTGGCGCGATGTGATTGAGTATATTTATATAACACCAACCGAGAACGACACTGACACCAACACCAACCAACACTGACACCAACACCAACCGACCCGATATTAACCGATACAGACAGCGACACCGACACTGATACAGACACCAAAACAGGTACTGCCACCGAGTCGGACACGGACGCCAATCAACCGGGCATCAGCCGACAATCAACCGATCAATTGACGGCGAGACCGACCATGACACTGGCATCAACCGACAATGACACAGGTGCGACTGGCACTGACACAGGCGCGTCTGGAACTGACAACAACCGATACTGACATGAGTTTGCCGCGCGAGTGTCATTAGACGAATGAACACAATGCGTATGTAATATGTATAATGTATATAGGGTGTTGCTTCGTCCCGTTCCCTGCTCCACCCGCCTTGACGTCTCCCTTGAAATCCCTCAGGCCATTTCACCCATTTATCCTCTCCTTGTTGCAGCATTCGACAATGCAGCACGTGCGCATCCAGGGCAGTCAGGTGGAGCTGGTGCGTCCGACGGGCCCGTCGGTGTTGCTCCCGACCGGTGGCCTGCCTCACCTGCTACCCCTGCACGCAGTACGCGCCGCCGGCCGGCCCTCCTGGGATCCACCTGCGTTGCCCGTGGGGACCCCGCGACCCGCCGCCGGCTGCAGCGGCTCCCCGTGCACCATCTGCGGCGGCGGAGGCGCCGCCATCAACATGTACAGTGAGTGGAGCGCCGCGCCCCGCCTGCCGCTGCCCGAGAAGGTGTGGCGCTGGTGCGTGTTCCTTGGCTCGCCGTTCTGGGCGGCCGGCGGCGGGAGGCTGTGTCCCCTCTGCCACGCGCTGGTCCATTGTGTGGAGAGTCTGCAGGTGGAGGCGCGGGTCCTGGAGAGGGTGGCCGCAGATGCCGCGGAGGCGGCGGCGACCTCGCAGGAGGACGCGTTGGCTCGCAGGTTCCGGTCGGCGATGGTGGCGTCCGGTGTGGGTGCCACCCGAGCCCTGCTGCGGAGCGTGGAGGGACTGCTGGCGAGACAGGAGGCGACGAGACGACCGTCACCGAGCAGTCACGAGCCGCCGCCGCCGCCACCACCGCCACAGCCGCCTCCGCCAGCACTCCAGCCACCCGGGGCGCTGCCACAGCCTTCACAAACGCCGCAGCAGCCTCAGCAGCCGCGACCGCCTGAGCCGCCTCAGCCGCAGTCGCACTCAGCTCCGCATCAGCAGCACAGCCAACAAGACGCGTCACGGTCGATGCAACAGCTTCTGCAACAACAGCAACAACAGATGCTTCAAACGGGATTGTCTGCGCCTGATGACACTTCATGTGATGGACGAAAGGTAATCATGGCAAGTAAATTAACCGTAAGCAATCACTTTTAATAGTCATTACCCAGAGATGATATCATGTTTGATGTTATACGCCATAAATATCCGTTTTCTTTATCTACAAGTATAGATTTCCCTTTTTCCTGAGAAGGGGCCAATGCTGCGTAACAAGTGTTTCAAAATTCTGAGGCATCTCGCGCAATGCGCACCCTCTTGTCCGGTCACGGCGTCTTCTCCAGCATGAATGTCATTATGGCATGATTACCGCAAATACCTAACGTTCGTCACCTTTTTTCGATAGGGGCAGGAGCGGCGACGGAGGGTCAGCGAATCACGGCCGTACCTTCAGCCTCAGCTCACACCCCTGCGGTGGGGCTCCAAGCGGAAACAGCACGCGCCGTGTCGTCTGTCGGAGACAGCCTCTGACCCGTCACTGCAGTCCGAAACTCTCCTGCCGAGTCCCACCGACACCACTCCTGGGGCTTCCACCAGCGAGGTAGAAACTCCGCTAGCCTTTGGGGGAGACGAGGCTGAACCTCTGCTTGTTGTGGACACACGGGAGTCTGTCCACCCGACGAGTGTCTCGGATCAGCTTCAGGTTGACGTCGAAGCTGAGGACCTGCACCGAATGAGCACGGTAAGCTGTCCAATGGACGACGAGGATTCCACCGTCACTGAACGTGACCACACGGCGTTGGAAACCGCGAGCACGCTGCCTGTTGACCTATCCGTTCGACAGGATAGCTCAACTCTTCACATCTTGGAGTGTTTTTCTGAGGCTGCCGGAAACTCATGCCAAGGTGGGTGGTACAGCGATATCACAAATGGGGAACAACTTTACATCGTCAAGGACAGAGCTGCTACGCACTTGGTTGATTCTGTTCCGATGAGGTCTGGCGAAACCGTTGAAGTGAGAGAGCCAAGGAAGGGGGATTTCACTTCTTCTGACATCAACTCTGGAACGGATCCGACTAGCACTCCGACGAACGAGCAGGCACAAGATTCTGAGCTAGCTCATGGAGTAACATGCAAACAAGAAGTTATTACTTATGCCTCTTCTACTGACTTTGGAGACTGCTGTGACGAGCAGTCCAGTACAACAAAAGTGATGACGTCATCATCGAGTTTCTCCATGAGCAACAGCACCGTCAGCTATTCAGCATGTCCAGAGAGGGATCTTCCTGAGCCGAAGGAGAAGCGAGCCGTCGGGTTTTCCACCAACGTGCGCCAAGCCCAGAACTACGGCACCTCCAGCAAGAAGCGTCACCGGAAGTCGCTCAAGCTGAAGATCGTCCGAGAGAACAACGTGTGGCAACAGTGCAGCACGGTTCCGGAAGACAGTGGAAGGGGTGCCTCGGCCCGGGCCAGTCCTGTGCGACCTGGAGGAGACGGGGGTGCTGCCTGCAAACGGCAGCTGAGAAAACTTCAACGGCAGCAGCAGCAACAGAAGCAAACCGACAGACCGAAGAGCTCGAGGGAGAAGATAAGTGAGCTCCCTCCCGACACAGCCTCCGCAACGATCAAACAAGAGAAGGGCGCTCAGCATGCACCATTGTCAACCAGTTGGAACGCCTCCACTTCGGAGTTGTTACTGAATGCTCCAAAAACTACAGTTTTGCCCGGATTCCAGCCGGTGCCTGTGCTGTCAAACGTGTTATCTGGCGATGACTCCAACGCCACCAGGTCATCGGGAAAGAACGAGTCTACGACACAAGAAGGAGATTTTCACGACGGGATCACAATGAGCATGAGCGAAGGAGCGTATCAGAGTATGGAGTTCTCCGTTCGCCGCTCCTTTCGCGCTCCGCCAGCGACGGTGACGGCGCACATCCTGATGTCGCCGGATGTTGACGGTCTCCTGCATATGACGAAGGCGGAGAAGAAGCTCCCCGCTACTGAAACGTCCGCTGGATGTGACCCAGACCCAGTCAGGAGGGTGCCGGGGAGGACGGAGGGGGTGTGGGTGTCTCCGGGAGTCATTACGACTCTGGACCCGTCGGCGGCTAATGGACAGCGGCAAGGGCCGACGTCAGGAAATGACACAGGTGAGTGCGTACTGACCAGAATGTGGAATATAGGTGAGCTCTGTTAAGATGTTTGAGTGGTGTGTTTTAGCTTATTACATGTGTCCATCGAGTGTCAAATTTATTTCTCCAATGATTACACTACCTATTGCTGTGGCGATTCCATGCTCGTCCTTTTGACGGATCTTTCGTTGCCACTGCATGTCTCGTCTTCCCGACCGCAATGAACAGTCCTAACTCAGCGTCAGAACTAACACAGAATCAGTCTATCCCATGCCCTGAGCCCGGCTCCTTGCTTGTCACATATACCTATTGTTCACCGCAGTGACCGCCGACCGGCTATACCTGTCTATCGTGTGCTACGTCAGTGTGAGTGCATGTCTCAATCCTGCTGTATCCGCTCCTGTCTTCATTTCGTAGTGTTGTGTCCGTCCTCTCCCTCCTCTCCAGAATTGTGTCCATCCCTCTAGCTTCTCCAATTTTCCCCGTTCTCACTCTCTCCTCCCCAGTGTTGTGCCCGTGTTTCTGCATATTACCCAGGGTTGTGATCGTCCTCCCCCCCCCCCCCTCCCGTCTGCCCCAGCTGACTGTCGATACCGCAGGGCGCGGCCGCCGCGTACGGATGTGTGTTTTGCGCACCGTGTCTGCCCGATGCTGCCGTTACACCGCCGTTCCGCGCTGCATACCGGACGGCCCCTCCCCTGTTCACCCCTCCCCTCCCCTAGGGTCGTGTGTGCTGACCCGTGCTGTGTTTTGTGCCGTCAGATGCAGACCGGTCAGCCGCCTCTTCCCCCGACCAGCCGGCGCCGGCGAGCAGACACATGGTGAGGCCCAGAGCGCCGGTAACACCGCACACTTCTCTAAGAATAGAAAATTGACTGCATGTCACACAACTGTTATTTTTGTCGTTAAATTAGTCGCATCAGCTTAATATATCTGAGGAAAATTGAGATAGACGAAGAGCTGTCTCTCTTGATGCCAATTTATTTATCAGAAATGATCCAAATAAAAAAAAACTACAAGTTGATGTCTTAAAAATTGCGACGAATTTAATGCGTTGTTACATATACAACATGCAGTTCATCGGCAAATGATATCTTGTGGCCTAATTCATTTTCAACAAATGTACGGATATACGGATAGTCGATCATAAGGTCCATACTTAACCCATATTTATACCAATCTAACCAACAAAAAAAAACGGAATCAAAGTGCATTTAACGCCTTTGATGCCCCTCACATGCTTTGGTGCCTCTCCGTCGAGATGTTCACTTGCCAGCTGACGGTCTAGTTAAGTCGTAGGTATTCAAAATTGCCCATTGGAACTAAAACGCTCTGCAAATGCGTTAACGGAATATTGGACATTACGGCTAGTCTTTCTGTTCATGAGAAAATCTCGTCTCGTCCCGTGTTTCTGACTCCGTTAAACGTTAAAAGGAATGGTAAAACGCGTTAGTATGGCTATTGGTTTATGTAGCATGCATATGCGCTATGGCTGAAATATCATATTTTGGAATTTCACATGTAGGTACCTCATTCTGGCTATTTTGCGTCAGGAGACTTTCGGTAAATATTACATAATTCGGTAAATTCGCTAATGGATCCGCTCAATCTCATTCATTGAATGTAAAATATTTTGGAAATTCACATGTTATGACACGATTACGCTGGGCCCAATAAAAGCATCCCGCAGCGCTTTTACCAGAAACTGTGGGCCATTCCGGAGCGTACGCTATCGTCAAGCCCCAAGGTCACAGTCCTTACGGCCGACATCGGGCCGGAACCGTCACTTTACGAGGGGCTTGTCTGCATAACGGGTGTCCCGGAGCGCGAGCTCGGCGGCGCTGCCCGACTCGGAGGGAGCCAGCCGGCGTGTGATGCGTTCCGCCGCCGCGGCGGGGACGGCCGCTGCTGGCAGCTCGTACCGCCGCTCTCCGGCGCGGCGCGACAAAGTAGTCCGGTGTCCGCATCAGGAAACACAGCCTCGAAGCTTTGTGCGGACGGTGATATAGCGGTTCGCCCGCGGGGGAGGGGTGGGGGGTGGGGGGTCGGGGGTATGTCATCGACCCACGCGCGGGCCCCCACCCGACAGTGAATACATAGGCGCGGTCGGTAGCGAAGGGCGCTGCGGCGTTACGAACACGGTACGAATGCCAAACAGGCGCTCGCCAGGCCGTCGTGTGGACGTGTTTGTTCAGTAGCTATTGATTCCTACCGCGGGCTAATGTAGCTGGCGCTGCCCTTAGCACCTTTGTCACTTTTCCCGAAAGGTGGCAGATTTTGAAATTAACTGTGTTGAAGGCAATACTTTTCATTTTATCGGTTTCAAACAGTCAATCAAGTGTTGCTGAACAGTAAACAAAAATAAATTTTATACGTTACTCATAAGTAAAAGCAAAGAAAGCAAACAAAACCAGTTGTCGTGTTTGCCTTTCCCAAAGCCAATTATCCTGACGTTGAATTTGTAACAGGCAACGTAAGAATCACAGCACAGCACATCACTAACGACCTGTCTAGGCTAGTTTATATAACAAAGAAATCAACAGTATGATCATGCCTTGGCCTTGTGTCCAGCTACATATATGCCACCGCCCACCGCGCGGCGCCGTCGCCCCGAGCGACCCCCGACTGACTAGCTGCAGCCGTACCCCTAAAGGTAGACTGTGCCGCACGGCTGCCGTGGGTTGCGGCACAGTCTACCAGCCAGTCAGAGTGTGAGGCCGAGCGATCGCGCAGTATGCGACACAGCACACTGCAAGTGATCGCTGAAGGACTCTGGCAGAGGAGAGAGAGAGAGAGAGAGAGAGAGAGAGAGAGAGAGAGAGAGAGAGAGAGAGAGAGAGAGAGAGAGAGAGAGAGGAGAGAGAGAGAGAGAGAGAGAGAGAGCATTTATTCACACTAGAACAACATAAAATTCATAAATAGCATAAGCAATTGGCGCAAAAGTGCTATGCACTTAAATCTATGGCGCCGCTTGCAATAATGGTAACAAAATGAACGAAACTTAAAAAATGAATGAAACAAAATAAGACTTCTACCGCCCTACTGTACATACAGTACCGCCCTACTGTACAGGCAGTATGCCAATTGTTCCGTGCCAGACACGCCGTCATAACTGGACAAGGTATGGATTGGAATTAGGATTGCAATTAGGATGTGTTAGGTTAGAGGCGAGGGTTTGGATAAGGAAGCGCTGCAGTGCGGTGGCGACCCGGCTGTCAGTGCCCCGACGCAGCCCAGTGCCGAAAATCATCAGTATGTCAAGTTGTTGGGAGGGAGGAATATCGGAAAAGTCGGTATCGAGGATTAGCGATAGGGATTGGAAGAGGTTCTCTCGTTGGGTGTTAAAGAGTGGACAGATTAGCAGGAAATGTTGTGCGTCTTCAGATGGGTGTCCACACGGGCAGGAAGGGGAATCACTGTTTTGCAAGGAAATAAGATGAGCGTTAAGATTTGAGACGTTGAGCCGCAGTTTTGGATGTAAAAGGTTACCGGGGGAGCGAGACGTCCCGCAGGAAAGCGCCTGATTGCCGGTCTTTTCCTCAAAAGTCAGTAACCATTCCCCCTTTGACGTCTTTCAGAAAGAAGCACATAACGTCTGACACTAAAATGCCCTCGTCCACACCATTAATTCAATATCCGTTCTGAAGAGTAATGTTTAAACAGGTTTTCATGGTAGATATGACCTTTTCCCACAAAATCTGTGGTGCGGTTATTTGCTGATAAAACAACAAACTATAACGTAAATCAAAATCATTTCACTCAACTCAGTAGTCAGTACATTGACGCCAATATTTCACATTGAAGTCGCGTAAGCGACAAGCGTCATTATCTCGCACCGTAAGACAGTGTTTTCAATTGCTTCACGTGCAAAGAGAGAAAATTATCAATAGTCGTGTAACTGATTTGTTAAACGTCTAGACGATTAACAAACTGTTTAACGTCTAGTAGACATTTCGTCTGGTCTAAAGCATGTCGTATTTTTATATAAAATGTATTTTTTACCAAGTTTAAGCGCCAGAAAGATATGGGCGGTACGGGATAAAATCATTAAACCGCTCGTAGGTAAAAAATGTTTTAAACGTCTCGCCTATCGGCTCGACGTTTGAAAGATTTGCTCTACCTACCCGTGGTTTAATATTTATTATCGCATTCAATGTCGCAAAATTTAGGTCAAAACAATTGAAATGAGTGTCGTCAAAACCTGGCAAATCTTCTTACTACTCGTACGGCATGCATACAAATCTTGCTGGCGAAAGCCGTTTGAAATTATTTGGAAGCTAGGTTTGCAAAATTGACGGAGGCCCAAGTGCGAAGCACGAGGGCTGTAGGCAGAAATAAGTGAACTGAATAAGTTCCAAATAATTTCGTCGGCAGCAAGGTCGGCAGTGGCACGGTTAAGGCCCGGTCAGTCTTGCGGTCAGTAATATACAGCTATATATTATTACACTGCCTCTGCATGTTCTAAATCAAAGTTATGAACTTTTCTTGTCACACCTCTCTCTCCCGACAGCCGGAATTCAGTTGGAGCTCATGCCTCAGTGACGGAGACACCATGCAGTTCTCCGGATCTCCCACCGATTTGGCTGCTATAGATCAGTCTTACTTGACCAACGACGAAGACGTGGACCTAAACAACAACGTCGTCACCGAGGCCAGCTCAGACCGCTCAAAATCGATGACCGGAACTGCAGCCGGTTCCGCAGCCGGAAGCGGGCCGGAAGTCGAGCAGGCGACCGGAACTGTCGATCCGCTGGCTGTGTGGAACCCGTCTGGTGCCGACGACGAAATGGACATGACGGGGATCACCGAAGGCATGGTCACCGCAACATCCCCGCTGGTCGTCGACGAGGAGATCGGCCGCGTTTTCCTCACCGCCAACCGGGCGCTGTACGGCTGCGACGACCACGACGCGGCCGAGTCGAGCGCGGCGCACCCGGCCGCCAGCGACGAAGACGCCGACGAGGAGGACGGCCGGCTGTTCATCGCTCTCGACGCCGTGCCCCCGGAGGACGGACCGATCGGGACGCCGGAGGACGAGCGACAGTCGCCGGAGGACGACAGGCCGGCGGAGGCCGAGCTGGAGGTGGGCCAGGAGCCGGGCGAAGTAGAGCCCGGGGTCGAAAGTGGGTCCAAGAACGTCACCCGGAGACGAGTTCGTGAGCAGGATAAACCCCTGGAGTGTCCCAAGTGCGGGCGAAGATTTATCCTGAGTAAAATGTTGGACAACCACAAGTGCGGAGTCATGTATACGTGTACCGAGTGTAGTAAGACGTTCAAGAAACGCTGCCAGCTGCAGGCACACTCATTCATCCACAAGCAGGCCAAGGACTTTGTGTGCAGTATCTGCCAGCGCGCCTTCAAGGAGAAGAGTAACTTCAACCGGCATGTGCGCACCCACTCGAGCCTGCGGCCGTACAAATGTCCGCACTGCGTCAAGTGCTTCAAGGTGGCCGCCACTCTGTACGTGCACCGGCTGACACACGACGCTCGCGGCCGCTTCGTCTGCGACTTCTGCCAGAAGGACTTCAAGCGTCCGGAGCACCTGCGTCAGCACCGGCGCATCCACACGGGAGAGAAGCCGTACCGCTGCTCGGTCTGTCAGCAGTGCTTCACCACCGACAACACGCTGCGCACGCACATGCGTCGACATACTGGCGAGCGGCCGTACCCCTGCCCCATCTGCCAGAAACGCTTCACCCAGTCGAGCGCCATGAAGACGCACTGGAAACGCCACAGCGAGTCGCGCGAGTTTGCTTGCTCCATGTGCGATCTCAAGTTCAAGCAGAAATATGACCTGAACCGGCACATGGTGTCCCACAACACGGAGCGGCCCCACCAGTGCAGCGTGTGTCACCTGCGCTTCAAGACGCGCCCCAGTCTGCAGAAACATCTCGAGACACATTCAGAGGAGCGCCACTTCTCGTGCGGCACGTGTGGCAAGGCGTTCCGGCGCGTCTCCTACCTGCGCCTGCACGAGGCCACGCACGGCGCCAGCGCGCGCTTCGCCTGCACGCTGTGCTCCAAGTCGTTCACGCGGCGTTATAACCTGCGTCTGCACCAAGAGGAGCACGAGGAGGGCGGTCGGCGCCGGCACTTCTGCTCCCGGTGCCGGCGCTGCTTCCGGCGCGCGGCCGGACTGCGACAACACATGGCGGTGACGCACGGCGGGCCGGCGCTGAACGCGGAACAGGGAGGATCGCGGGAGACCCCCGACCGAGAGCCGCAGAGCCAGAGTGACGCGCGCTGGGAGCCCCCTGGCAGCGAGGCTGCTACTGATGGTGCTGACCCCAGTTCAGGTGTCACGACGGCCCCAGGAATGGTGATAAGTCCTGCGAATGCGGCCACAGAGGTGTTTTGGATGGGTGCCGTATCTGGTGAGCCTGTCCTCCATATTCAGATTCCTGGAGAGCCTCGTGAACAGGAGTGTGACCGAGTGACGGTGCGTGCTGTGAACTCGCCAGACCGTCTGTCGGGCAACCAGAGAGCAGAGTCGTCAGAGGAAGAGCTAATTGTCGATTAGCTGCAAACAATATTTGGTCTCCATATCGAGGCTTTACGATTTCATAGAATAGTTATCATAAAAATCCTGACTGCAAAACTTGCAAACAACCGCCGTGCATCGTGGTTCTATGCACTGTCCTGTGGCTCTTTGAGCATATGCCTGTTGAAGTTAACTCAGGGTGATGGCCTTATAATTAGGATAAGTGTTGTTCATGTCTGTGTCAATCTATAGTCGATTTCCGTACCGTACCTACCCTTTTCTGAGAAGAAAGCGTGATTGATTGATCCGTAAATTGTACTATAACGACGGTGATTGACGAGACGAGGCCTGGTTATTTTTGTTCTGCATTAAGCTATTGTTTTTAGTTCACGTTCATGTGCTTTACCTAGCTCTAAGTGTTAGCGTAAAACGATTGATCACTTCCTCTCTGTGATTACACTGCAGTGCTGTGCTAGCATTTAGGTCCGTCTATTTATTTGCAGCACCATTGTCTCGATTGGTTTGACACCTATACGTTGTGTGCCGTGCAGTATTATTATCGACATAAATATTCATGTTGCGCTGTTTTTCGTTTGTTTTCCGTTTAAGCTACAGCGCTAACGTTGCAAACCTTATTGGAAATGAAGGGAGGGAATGATAACTAGCCAGTACCTAATGGCCAGATTGTTTACGTTGTTTCCGAGCATGCCCTTGGCTGAAACCGTTTGGGAGGATGGAAGCTTATTTGGTTTACTTGCGGAGGACTGATCGAAATCATTTAATGACATGGTATCGTTTCAGACAAAAAACGCGTTAGCTCGTGTATAATGCATGATGCATACCTAATGCCCGCCGCCCCTACTAGTGCTTTTTTCGAGAAAGCTCGGGAAACGCAAGAGATAGAGAACTGAAACTTGGCATACCTGACCTTTGATTCAAGTCGGGTCTTGTGACACTAACCACATTTTCAGGTCAGGTCTTGTGACCTCACCATTTTAAATCGATAGGGAAATATGTAAAATGTTGTTTTGGGGCCGGGAATGATCTGAAACTATACCATGCACGCGGAATCGTGATTTCACGCACTTCTTGCAAGGCCCGCAATGTTTCCTTTTTGCATTGTTGCTGGTGGAGACTATCAGGGTTTGGGGATAGGGGCTCCCAGAGACGCCGGTGTCGGCACTTGGAAGTTGTAAGTACTGGTAAGGGCCATCACAGTAGCAGTCATGGGCCCTTGTAAGTTGCTGAAACTGGTGTGTGGCTACAGGCGGATGTGAGGATCTGGATATTAGAGCTGCTGGTCACTAATAGGACGGAAAGGGCCCTCAGAGGCCAGCCGCCCAGCGAGTAGCTCTCAGAGGTCGCCAAGGGCAGGGCTGCGGAGTCGGAGTCGGAGTTGATTTTTGAAAGCCGGAGTCGGAGCCGGAGTCGGAGTCACTGAAAATATATCGACTTTGCAGTCCTGGCAAAGGGGCCCCGAGAGGCCGGCAAGCCCTGAGAAGCCGGTGTGGGGCTCTTGACCCTCGCCGGACCTATTGGTTTTCTACATACGCGCCGGCCGGGGGGGGGGGTACGACCCCCCTCCCCTTCGCCGTTTTGCCCCTGGTGGAGCTAGCGCGTCGCGGAAAAAACGAATGTGTGGCTAAAACCGGTGAGAAAACCAGATTTGGGTGTATAGTCGACTACAGAATGATGTTCCACTCCTCAGAAGCTATCAGTTGACTCACTTGACCAGAGCGCTAAGTTGTGCCGTTTATCACGCAATTAAACGTATCGATTGTGAGCATTGGGACAAAGCTATAATTTGTGAACTCAGCCCGTGTGAGTGATGCGGCACAGCCTACCACTCCAAGCAAATATAGTGGAACATCATTCTGTAGTCGACTATACATACCTTGGTTGATATCCATTATGGTGTGAAAGTCAGAAAGTAGTTACAGCGCCCCTCATCTGTGATGATGGAAATTGATTCAGTGTTCATTTTATTTAAATTTCAACTTGACAAACGGACCATGTAGGTTTGGTTTGATGGCTTTTGGCCATAGGCGTAGGAACAGGGGGGGCCGGGGGGGCCATGGCCCCCCCACTTTCGGAGGTGGGGGGGCCAGCAATGTTAACTGGCCCCCCCACTTTTTGCTGACTTAAGTGTCTGTCTGTACCTAACCTACCACCCGGTAACTTGACAACTATTCAGCTTGCCCTTTAATGAGGACTGAGGATTCCTTTTTGTTTCTACAGCGTTATTGACCGCAATTTCCTTCACTCAATGAAGGAAACCATATCAGAGACAAGTCTGTGAGTCCTGGTGACAGCATTTTGTTGAATACGAGGCGCGGGACAGCGAGCACTAAAAAGGTATAGGCAATACTAAGACAATACTAGCACGGTGCAGGAGAATGCGTATACAAACGACCAACGCTTGACCTTATCTGCTTGGGGTCGGCATAGTTCGTCAAAGGCGTACTAGCTGGGGGCCAGGGTGACCGTGCCTCAGCCTCGGTTCAAACAGGCTGGGGGCCAGCAATGTCTGTTTCTGCCCCTCCCCCTTCCACTTTCAGTGCAGTGGCGGTCGCAGAGGGGGATCAGGGCCATGCCCTTCCCCCCTCCAAAGGCTAATCAGGGGGCCATCATATCATTTGGCCCCCCCAAACAACCAATGGGCCCCCATGGGCGTATGGGGCTCTGGCCCTTATTCGATTGTTACGAGACTCAAGAATCCCACGCTAGCTATTAACAGCTCCCAAACCAGTCTTTGAGGGTCCTACACTGATCTCGGAGGGCCCTTCAGTGGCGGTCAAGCGCCCACATTGACCGCTGAGAACCCACATTGACCTCATTTGAGGGCCCCTAAACCGGCCTCAAGGGCCCAGCCGGCGTCTGAGGGCCTCACACCGGCCTCTGGTGGCCTCATTTCTGTCTCTGGGGTCCCAAGACTAGCCTTTAGGTGCCTTTGAGGACCCCGCACTGAATTCTGAAGACCCGATGCCGGCCTCTAAGGGTCCGCATCGGCCTCTGAGGGTCCACCTTGGCCTGAGGGCCTGAGGGGTCCAACGCCGGCCCATGCCGGTCTTTTAGGGCCCCACACTGACCTCTAAGGGCCCATGCTGACCTGTAAGGACCCACATTAGCCTATGAGGCCTTGCACGGGATTCTGAAGACCTGATGCCGGCCTCTGAGGCCCATCTTGGTTTTTGAGGGCCTTCTGCTGGTCTCTGGGTTCCAACACCGGCCCATGCCGGTATTTTAGGGTCCCACATTGACCTCTAAGGGCCCCGCACTGGATTCCGGAGATCCGATGCCGGTCTCCAAGGGTCCGCATCGGCCTCTGAGGGCCCACCTTGGCCTATGAGGGCCCTCCGCTGGTCTCTAGGTTCCAAGTCCCGCCCATGCCGGTCTGTTGCGGCCCCACACTGACCTCTAAGGGCCCATGCTGGCCTGTAAGGACACGCATTAGTCTCTGAGGGCCTTGCACTGGATTCTGAAGACCCGATGCTGGACTCTGAGGCCCATCTTGGTTTTTGAGGGTCTTCTGCTGGCCTCTGGGGTCCAACACCGGCCCATGCCGGCATTTTAGGGTCCCACACTGACCTCTGAGGGCCCATACTGGCCTGTAAGGACCCACATTAGCCTCTGATGGCCCAAGTCGGCATCTTAAGGTCTCATCCTGCCCTTTGCAGGCCCTGTACTGGTCTCTGAGGGCCTTAACCCTCGCCGGCCGGGGGGGGGGGGGGCGGGTGCCGCCCCTCCATAGGTTTTTTCGCGATAGCTCCGAACACGACGGCGATAGAGAGCTGAAGCTTGGCATACCTGACCTTTGAATCAAACGGGATCTTTTGACACCAACCGCATTTTCGGGTCAGATCAGGTCACTGACCCATGTGGTCATAAGTGAACCTCTGCACGGTCTTCAGATGTCGCAACTTCGCAACGCCCTCACTGCCAGAGGAGATTTCATAGGGAAATGAACCTTGGAGGACCTAGTATCCAATAGGAGTCTCTCAACTTGTATAATGTATATCTCGGATTTTTCCTAAAGTTCATATGAGGTCAGGTCATTTTCGTGACCTCACGATTAGGTATAAGTCAATGGGTATAAACTGAAAACTTTTTCTGGCGCCGGGAACGATCGATCTCCAACTATCTCAAGCACACCGAATCGTGATTTCATGCACTCCTTGCAAGGTTCGATGCGTCACTTTTGCAATGTTGACCTTGCGCGACGTCATTTATGAAGTTATAAGGGTCTTATTAGTTTTTCGTCAATAACTAGGTACCGATCAAATTGAGCTAGCGAGTCGGGAAAGCCACCTATGGACTCAAGAAGACCTGCCGAATCGAATGATATGCGTAATGACCTCCTTCGACCAATTTCGTGACCTGGGGACGCCGACCTGACCGTGACCCGAGGTCAACACCCTAAGTTTACCTCACCCAAACAAAAAGTATATCATTCGACGCGCCTGAGAGAGGCGAACACGATGCTGGCAAAATCGCGGCTCTGCGGCCATTTTTCCGAAGTTATTCACCAAAAACGGAACCGTGCCTTGAGGCACTTGACCTGACCTCAGAGGTCACCGGTTTTTGTTTGTTTTGTTGGGTTAGGCCCTTTCGGTCCAATGAGACCATTTCAGAGCCGGAAGGATGATAGGATATAGGGGGAGACATTGGTCTGGGCAGGCACCCTAGTGAGTCGCCGGGGCTGAGCCCGTCCAGAGGACAGGCCACCCAGCCCCAAGGCACTCACTGCACCCGGCTACGGGGTGCGCTCCCTCGGGAGCAGCGGTGCCGCTCCAAGGGAGCAGTCCGCATGAGATAAAGTTGCCTGTCCAGCCCGGAGGGGGCTGCGGTATGGAGGAGAAGGATTTCAGTATCCTGAGGATAGAAGCACGGAACGGTGTCAGAGGTCACCGGTTGACCTAGGGCCATAAAATCGGGTATCGATCTCTGCGTCTCGTAACGGCGCACACGCTCGTTTTACCGCGACGCGCTAGCTCCACCTGGGGCGAAACGGCGAGGGGGGTCGTACCCGCCCCCTCGGCCAGCGCGTATGTAGAAAACCTATAGGACCGGGCCGTGGAGGGTTAAACTGGCCTCTGAAGGCCCAGACCGTCTAAAAGTCCCACACCGGCCTCTGATAAGTGATAGTCAATCAGCCCAGTTGCAGTGGTCGCTGATATAAAACCTCTTAAAAACGTTATATGTAGGCCTGGCTGAGCCTAGCTGGGCCGTTCATGCTGATTTTTATAGTTATATTGAAAAGACTCGCTTTGCACGTTTCACGCTTGCTCGTAATGAAAAAGTTGCTGGATGCCTCTGGAATTTGCATGGGTGCCAACTGCCAACTGCTGCGAAGGACAGGGGAACGCGTCCATCAGTTTGAGTTTATGGACGGGAGACTCCCTGAAATTTCAACCAATTTTTTTCTTTTTTTGTCTCGATTTTTTTTTACCTCTGAGCATGTTTGCGAAAACAAAGTGGCCGAAATCCGAGGAGAAATCGGATTTTGGGGGTAGGTTAGGTTTTGGACCTCTGGGACCCTGGCCCCCCCACTTTCGAAAACGTTCCTACGCCTATGCTTTTGGCACTACCAACTCCCTCGGAAAAGCTTCTCCCATGATTTAGTGGTTCTTTATTGCACTATTTCTACTTTTTCAAGTGTGGCGCTTGTAAACAAATATTTTGCCGAGATTCGTAATAAGTCCAATTTCAATTTGTCATCACTTTAAATTGATGACGTCATAGGCTCTGAAGCTTTTATCCTTTTTGTATTTTCATTTTACAGCAATTCAAGGAAATTTTAGCATAATTACATTTGGGGGAAAAAGGTATTGAGACCTTTATTTATCGTTTTTTCTGTGGATGGCCTTGGATGATCCGCATGCAGCACTGTCGTTTGTCTCTTTGATTACATCATAAAGCCTATGCTGGAGGGTTGAGATGTTTCGCTTATGATTTACGCAATCTTTGTGTATTCCCCTGGCTAAAAGTTTACATTGAGAAAGGAGGAAGGAGTTCTGAGTCTATCGCTCTAAACCTAAAGCCTTGTGGGTTTATGTTGAGTTTACCTTGGAGTTTACGTGATAATACAGGGTGATTTGTGTAACTGATGTTGTACTGGCATTTGTTTCTGCATGGTCAAGTTGAAGTCCAAGGCCATATAAACCGTCAACTCAAGGTCATATGTGCTCAGATTAATGCTGATTATACACCACAGGAGCATTGATGTATGCGTATCGGTATCGTCTCACTCAATGCCAGTATTGACCACACCATCCTTAGTTAAATTGGATTGAGATACTGAGGCTGTACTGTTGTCTGATAGAAGCATCATGAACACCAGAGACAAATTGGTCTCTATGAAAATTGTGAAGCTATTATTCAAGCCTTTGAGTGTCTAATCAAATTGTCAAGGTAAGGGCAGTGAACACATCAGTGAGTAGTGACTCAGTGACAATGACGGTGACAGTCGGTGACTCGGCTGAGGAGTAAAAACCCTCTGTCTAAGTCTAGCTCTGTGACTGTCATTTAGGCATTACCACGCCACTGAAGCTAGGGGCAATGCAATTTGACTCAGATATTTGCTCTTCCACTTAACAACTCCTGCAGTATCTAACAGAAAATTAACAGTGCAAAGCTAAGTGAGGTTCAAGCTCACTGTAAATGATCAGGTGATCTTTCAGACACTATTTTCTTACACATCTCAATTCAATCTGTAACTCTACTTGATAAATGTCATGGCCACATCATGTGGCAATTGACATGGTAACTCGTATTGTCAACTACTCACTGTTTTGCATGCTTTATTTTTCTTCGTGTGTTTGTTTTTATTCCCTCCAACATGCTATGGCACCAAATTACAGAATGGCTCCCTAGTCACAGCTGGGGATGACTTCCGTAGGGGCGGATGGCATTGGAAATTGAACCCAGAACTGCCTAGATTGCTAGATTAATCCCTGCCAATGCCAACTGTGCCAACAGTTTGACACTTAATGACACTATTTGTCAAATCTAATATAACTTAGAACCTTACCTATTTCAAGTAACAGCTGGCAATTGGCATATGGCTTAGACTTTTGAAACTACAGCACAAAACAGAAAAAGAACTAAAGCTAAAAGATACCTCTCATAAAGTCATTGATGATAAGATTAGCTCCTGTCTGCTGACACTGGTGTTTCTGTTTGTTACCTACCAGCTGCTGTACTGGGGGCAGCTGTCTGAGTCTCTGACACCAGTGTTTGTGTTTGTCACCAGCAGCTGTACTTGGGGCAGCTGTCTGTGCTGTCTGACATGGTGTTTCTGTTTGTTACCTACTACCTGCTGTACTGGGGGCAGCTGTCTGCTGTCTTGTTACTTACTACCTGCTGTACTGGGGGCAGCTGTCTGTGCTGTCTGACACTGGTGTTTCTGTTTGTTACCTACCAGCTGCTGTACTGGGGGCAGCTGTCTGTGCTGTCTGACACTGGTGTAAGGTGTTTCTGTTTGTTACCTACCAGCTGCTGTACTGGGGGCAGCTGTCTGTGGTGTCTGACACTGGTGGTTCTGTTTGTTACCTACTAGCTGCTGTACTGGGGGCAGCTGTCTGTGCTGTCTGACACCAGTGTTTGTGTTTGCCACCAGTGACTGGACCATGGGCAGCTGCCTGTGCTCCTGTCTAACGGGAGGGCCTACCGATGAGGACGGCTCACGGAGCCGGGTCGAGGGCAATGGAGCGGCACGGGACGACCGCCACTACCTGGACTGCGGCCTGTTTGTCCGCCTGCCGACACTGGTGGACAACCTTGTCCTGGAGACACTGGACAATGTCCGGACACTGGTGGACCTGTGAGTGAATGCGTGCTTTCCTTTTACAGTGTTCAAGTGTTTTATTTGCATGTAATCAAAGTAGAAAAGTTCTCTTTTTAACACTTTCTATAGTAGGTAACTCACAAAAATGGTCATGTGATTATAGCTGCACATTTTACTTGTCCTCATCCCCCAGTGACCATGGGATCTGCCGCTGAGTTCTGTCCCCCTCCCATGACCTTGACTCGTCGCTGACTTATATCCCCCCCCCCCCCGTCCGCAGTGACCAGGACCCGCCGCGCTCGATGGTCGTGCTGCACATGATCGCCGACAAGGAGGACGGCTGGCTGACGGTGGTCCTCTCCATGGTGAACGTGATCCCGATGGCCGACCCGCTCGGACCGGCCGTCATCCTGCTGCTGCTCGACGACTGTCCACTGCCCACAAAGGTAGATAAATTGAGATGGATGGTCGCGTGAGCAGAGGGGCGATTTGGACGGTGGTAACCGCTTGGCTTCTAGTAGACACGAGCTCGCACTAGATCAAAGTTTGCGTCGTCGTAGAATAGTGTCTCCAATCACAATGATAATATTATGTCATTTACATTGTGAGAGAAACCACAATTTAGGACACTATTCACTGCTTATCGATTATTACTTAATAGATGTCAGCCTCTGTATGTGTACTGCGATGAAAAAGCTTTTTATCATTTCTAAAATTTGTATTCGTGGTTGCCATGCACTCCGTCATTTTCTATCGATTTCCCATGTCTTCTTTTTCTCTCATAGTTCCTGCCTATCTTCTTAAGTCCCTCTCGTCATCCACCCATGCTACCGTCTAACCTACATATAACCTCCCTCAGGACCTGGTGGTGCGGCTGGCCGCCAAGCTGAAGCTGTCTTCCCAGTACGTCGAGGAGAACCGCAAGCGGCCCGTGCTGTTACGGAACGTGTGTGTGGTGTTTGGCTGCCTGGCGGAAAAGATGGCCGGCCCCAACTCTCTGGCGCTGCTCACAGACGACACGCTGGCGTTCCTGCTCGATATACTGGTGAGAGGTGGGAGGAGAGAGAGAGAGAGAGAGAGAGAGAGAGAGAGAGAGAGAGAGAGAGAGAGAGAGAGAGAGAGAGAGAGAGAGAGAGAGAGAGAGAGAGAGAGGGGGGGATGGCTCTGCGGGGGAGGGGACGGCGCTGGCAGGATAGAGGACTGGCGAGGGTTCAGTACAGCATGATGAGGGAGGTCGGTGCCGAGAAAGGGATGATGTAAGTTGGTGCCGACTTGCATGTGCTGAAATGCTTAATGCTTTGGTGTTTAGCTGTTAAGCTGGTAGCGGGGTTCCCCGTGGCCGGTACATTTGCCCGGTTGCCACGGTGAGTGCCAGACGAGTATTTACTTGACATACAGCGGGGGCCTGCCTGATGACGTGGTGTCGTGGTATGCAGTTCTTATCCGTGACAGACGGCCGCCCATTGCTATTCACCAAGGACGTGTTTGGAATATGCTAATGAACGGTCTGTGTCAGTTTCCAAATGTATGCCTAGGTAGGCATACGCTCGGCGATAAAGGACGCATTATGTGCAGTGGAATACATATTCTGCCATTATTATTGTAATAGCATATCTTTGATAGGTATGCAATGTCTTATTGTGAGACCTATTGCATGCGAGCCAATTGATATTTGGTTCTCCACGATTTAGCTTCTATTGTTGTAATTCAATGATCGAAGTGATTGACTCAATGGTCAAAACTTTGCGAACGACTGCACGTTGTGTTCAAAACTAGGTTTCCACACCCTTTTGAAATAACAACAGTCAATCTTCTATCTAGTTTGACCAGAGTTACCAGAGTGTATCTTCGATTATCGAGCTGAATGCCTGTAACTCGACGCAGTAAAATGCCAAATGTGCCATAACTTGGCAGAGTTCCCGTCCTCCGGGGTCGCTTTTGTTATCGAGTTTTCCCCGTAGAATAGATTCCCTCGTGGACAGCCTGTTGTGTAGTGTTAAATGGTGTTGGTGTGGGTCTCGCTCTCAGAGGTATGTGCTCACATCTGACGTCCTGGTTTGTCCGCAGAAGCTGGACGACTCGCCGACTGTGATTCTTTTCTCTCTGATTGCGCTGGAGAAGTTCGCCCAGACCAGTAAGTGGGAGGTGGACGCGATACGGGACTGGGGACGGCAGTGTAGTGGGGTGCGTGAAACGGAGCGGGACTGGCGGGACCTGACCGGACGCGACGGTACGGATTATGGACAGAGAGGTCGGGAGGATGGGCACGCGACATAACAGCTGGGCAGCACCGTGGTTAAACTGCTGAACCGTACCGGGATTCGTGCCGTATGGAGCTATTGCGTCATGTGGTGAAACCTGATACTGTCGGCGTGGTATGTCTCCTTCGAGAATACCGAGAATACATCCGACCTACGACCGTCCCCGGAATCGTTTGTTGATTCTACGTGATGCGTTCGTCGTAGCTTAGGGAGATAAATTTATGTAAGCAATAACTTCTGATGACCTTTAGCTGAATGAGACTATTCGTACTCTCATTGAACTTCATGAGATGGCTCTGGCCACCATATCGGCTCATGTCGTTCTTCTAACTCTCCCATCCCATGTGTCTCCAGGCGAGAATAAGCTGACAATCAAGCAGCGTCTGGCGGTGATGGAGCCGAACCCTCTGCTGCGCCTGGAGGCCTGGGTGTCGCACGCCGACTACCAGTACCAACAGGTCGGCTTTTGCGCCCAGTGGTGCCTCGACAACCTCTGTGAGTCCACTAGCGTTCATGGGAGGGAAAAGGTGGGGTGTTTGGGGTTGAAAGCTAGGCGTTAGGCGGGGTACATATATTTTAACCAGAATCAGGGGCTGCAGTTGACGTCAAATACTAGCGAAGTCAGTGCTCGATGTTAATCATGTTATCATTCTAGTGAAAGTGTTATCATTCTAGCGCCGACAATGTTTCTTTGTTTGTGATTATCTATAGAGTGTGTGCTATCCTGCGCGTCTGGTGTTTCCCTGTGCACTCGTCGTGAGCCGTTCTCGGTAGATTGCCGCAGCAGCTGCTCGACCTAAGATTACTTTACGGCTGACCCATTTCCGCTATCTAACTGGCTAAGACTGTTCACTGACCCTTTCGCCTCATCCAGCTGCCTGCTCGACTACTGACCTAGCTCCATGCCCTGACCACTATTTGATCAATATTTACCCCTGCGTCACACTTCTTGAGCTCGGACATTCCCCCCCCCCCCCCCCCGGAGAAGTCCTCCATTTGACCCCTGTCCTCTCCGACTCCTTTGCCCTTTCCGTTAACCTCAGTCCGTCCTCAGCTGACCCCGGGCACTGTGTAAATAGCGGACCTTTAACCCTCCACATTGACCCTTCCATCCTCTGGCCCGCACTATCACACTGACTGACCCCTGGGCCTATGGCCTCACTGTCTGACTAGCTGACCTCTGCCTGGCCCCTGACTCGCACTGTCTAAAGGCCTGGCTACACTATGCGTTTTCTGCGTGCGATTCTTGCGGGTTTGCGGGTTTTGCGTAATATTGTTCTAGAAAATAAGTTATAAATAATATAATTTACATTGGTTATATACAAATGTTAAAATAGCCGATATGGACAAAAATAGAACATAAAAACCTCACAAAAAGGTAATATCGTTTTTCTTCTAAAGCGATATTATGCCAAACACGCAAACCCGCAAAAAACGCACGCAGAAAACCCATAGGTAGTGTAGCCAGGCCTTCACTGTCCGACACGGGACACCTCACCCGCACAGTCTAACCGACCTCTGCCGGTCCGCAGTCGAGGTCGAGGGCCGTCCGTTCACGTACGAGGGCCAGGACTTCACCGGGCTGAATGTGATGCTCAACAGCAACGACACGTCCGAGTACCTGAAAATATCACCAGACGGACTCCAAGTAAGACAGCGAACGAATCGCGTATTTCCCGTTAACGTAACTCGTTCATCAGTCTCTGTTCCCGGTCTGCGTCTTCTCTTCGATCAGTCGCACCTCCTATAACATGGACGGATCGATTGTAGCAAAGTGTCATAACTATTTGCCTGTAAAAATAACTGCTGCACGCTTCTTATGGACATTCTTGTGATGGCATTTCTGATAAGACGTCTTTGCTAGCTTTGCTTGGGTTACAAATCACTCATATGACAGTGGTATGACACTCACGGATGGGGTGCAGACGTGAGATTATCTTTTATCGCACACCTACCGCTCTCAGAATTTTAGTAATCGGCCTGTCGATGTGTATTGTGTCTGTAAGATGTTTGAGTTTCTCACGAAGTGGCTTTATCCTTCTCTTCCTATTGGACTATTCGCTGCAAGCGCTCAAATATTTGACGGCGGAAATGTCTATGGTGCCATGTCGTTGAGAACGGATTTGCTCACGGATGAAGGGGCCATATGGTAAAGCAGTCAGCTGTGGCAGGAATGGTAGAGTAAGGCCCGCGTCAAGCGCCACTTACTCACCAATCTGAGTTCTACTGATGCCTGAAAGACAAATTTTGGACACTATAACCTTTGTGACTAAAAATAGAGCTACGTGTTCTTGATAAACTAGGCCTAGTTTCTAGTGCGAATGCTCAAAATATAGTTTTACTTGAATTGCTGTCGCCAGAGTTGGCCTGCGCTACGCTACGTTACGCACTACGTTACGCTACGTTTGCTTTTTTGGCCAAAACTACGATACCGAATTACGATACGTTATACATTGCTACGTTACTGAATTATGGTATTTGTTAATTAACGCAGCAAATTATTTTATCGTACTACGTTATGCAATATGTCATCATCCACTACCCAGTGGAAACGGTTAGTCTCTAGTAAGCCAAATACTGCGCACAATGATCGCCGGCTTTGCAACATCGTCGGTGCGGCGGTGCCTACGCGCTACTCGCTAGATGCGTTGGACTTCCGACAGGGAATTCCCTGGGACTCCCCAGTGGGAAATCCCCGGTGTCGGTCCGGCCGGAAGAAAGACTCAGTGGTATTCATATAGCAGGCGTCTCACATCCGTGTAAACGGCCGGAGGTCTGGTGACGATATGAGTAAACTGAGAAAAAAAAATTATGTACCTTATACAAGTACAGCTGACCTGTAATTGCTACGGAATCCATTTCGTAGTTCCTACGTTATTCTGTTATTTTCCGTACTACGCTACCGAAACATCCAATTACGCTACGAAACGGTACTGACAGCTACGGGTTACTTCAAAGTAACGTAACGTAGGCCAACTCTGGCTGTCGCTCACCACGCTCCACAAATTCGATCATAATAATAATTCAGTGGACTTGCACTGTATTAAACAAAGACCGCACCGCCTCCCCGACGCCCCCTGCACGTGCATAGCCTGCGGCGGCGCTCCGTTCCCGTCGACCCGGGTCCTCACGGATAGTGGCCCGATAGCTCTCTGAGTGGACGATAGCCGCCCCAGCCGTACGTATGTGCTAATTACTGGGCTGTAAAGAGCGCCGCCCGGGGGGGGGGGGGTGAGGTCACCGACCTCGGCTGGTGCGGCTGAGCCTGCAGAAGTGCGAGATTTGCAGATAGTTTAGGTGGAGATTGTTTAAGATGAGCATCTCGCAGCGGATAGTTGCAATGAGCGCAGAAGTGTTGCCCAAAATATGCAGCTTTTGTTGGATTCCAAAGAACTAGCATTTCCTTTCGAGCGCAGTTACTGTTATAAACTCAATTATAACTTAAAACGTCAGTTATAAGCTCAGTTATGGACGTTCGGGGTGGCAGTCTTGGTTGTGAAAAACAAAGATGAAAAGTGTGAACTTTATAAATTAATCGTGTTAACGTCTTCCTGTGTGCCGTAATCCAGCTCTGCATTTTGCGACTTGCCGGGCTGTGTACATGATTTAATGCTAATCGAATGTTCCCCAGTGACATGGCGCGGCATTTGCGTGTCGTGTTGTATTCCTGCTTATGAAACCGGCTGAACCTTGCGTGGTATACCGTGTCGCGTCGTGTGTTGATCCTTTCATGAATGCTTCATTTCATGCTGAAAACTGTGTGGTATCGTGCCGTACTTTACGATACCTTGCCGTAGGTAGCATGTGCCGTACGAGTACAGACTACAGTACCGTGCCGTACCGTGCATGTTGTGTCGTACCGTGCCGAGCAGTTCCGTGTCGTCCGTCGGTAGCAACCCGCTCCACCCCGGGTACCCGTGCTCGATCCCCACGGCTGTGCCGTGCCGCAGCTCCATGGTAACACGACTCGTCACAGCGGGGCCCTTACGTGCACAGTACACGAAACGCTGTCATAACGCCGGTCGGTAGGGAGGTAGGGCCAGAGGTGGTAATAAAACGATACAGTGGCGCTATGGGGGGGGGGGGGGCAATACGTGACAATGACGGCGGGTGGGGCGGGAAACCTGCCGGGCTAATTGTACGCTACAGCAGCGAGCTTGGGGCGTGGGGACTGTTGATGGATGAAAGGACATCCGCTGTCGTGCTGGCTAGTAGTAGTGGCTATGTGTTGTTCGTTTTAGTTAGCCGGATTCATTCACTTGTGGATGCCTCATGCTTTTTCAACGACGCTGCTAAATTGCATGTATCAATGCCACCGATTTTTCATGCCAGTGCGCACTGTGTTCCTAACGTCGATGAGCAACAAAATGAGGCGTTCATTTCTACAATTGAATTCACACGACTGTGTCATCCTCTGAAAGATAGCCACTACAGGTCTGACTGCTGTCCGTTATTCCACTTCACCGCACTGAGAGTAATCCATTGTTAACCTATTTGTGACCCATGTGACCCCTTCGTCTAATGTCTGTTGTCGTCCCAAGCTTGAGTCCGGCGGACTGTTTCGTCTAACGGCTGCCACTCGCAGGTGACCTCTCTCGGCAACTGGACCCCTGAGGGGCCTTTGACTTCATCGAACCCCGTGAAAAGCTTATCCGCCACTTCTGACTCCTGAGGTCTTTGTCGACATCAACTGACCGCTGCCTTTCGTCCTCAGCTGACTAAGGTGACCTCTCTCGAACCCTGTGACCACTGTGGTTCCAGACTGACCTGTGACCTTTCCCTCCTCCCCACAGGCCCGTTGTGACGCCACGTCTTTCGAGAGTGTCCGCTGCACGTTTCCAATCAGTTCCGGCTGCTGGTACTACGAGGTGACCATAGTGACCAGCGGTGTGATGCAGATCGGGTGGGCCACCAAAAACAGCCGCTTCCTCAACTATGTGAGTAGCCGGGGAGGGTGGTGGTGGAGCTGGAAAGTGGAATGGGAGGGGTGGGGTGTGGGATGGGGAACGATTATAAGAGACGTGGCTTTGAGTGTCCGTAGCGGATATGTCAAGGACTGTCAAATGGTTGGCGGTTGGTGCGATTTGTTGCTTTGTTTTGGTGTTTGCTGCAATGCCATTTTTACTTTTTATGTTAATCGAACATTTGACATTCTCTTTGTATCAATCTGAATTTTAAGAGGTGCAAGTCATCCAGATATTGAACTGTTTACACTAACTTTCTTATAGCATCGAATGAGGCGTATGCATCATATTTAGCGCAGTTTCCTGGTACGCTTTCCCTTCCCCCTCTAACCACCCCTCCCCCTCTCCACAGGAGGGTTACGGTATCGGTGACGACGACAACAGTCTGGCGTACGACGGCTGTCGACAGCTGCTGTGGTACAACGCACAGGCGCGCGGCCACGGCCACCGCTGCTGGCGGCCCGGCGACGTGCTGGGCGCACTGCTGGACACAGAGGCGGCGCACTGCGTGTTCTCACTGAACGGCGACCCGCTGCCGCCCATCACCGACCTCTTCAGCACTGTCAGGTGCGGACTGAAGGGGGTTTGTAGACATCGAGCTGAGTCAGGGCGGGGTACGGGAGGTGTTGAGCTCTTTATCGGCGTTGGAGATACATGATATTGAAATAGTGCGGAGCACCAACACAGTCCGAGCGCTTCCTGAAACACATCACAATGAAGATGCTTCCTTATAAGCACAAGGACGTATGTCATATGAAGCAGCACATCTCAGAATTGCATACCATTTTGCATAAGACCATGCTTTGGTAATCTCACTCCTTAGCTTTCGTGTGCTGACTTGTGCCCTCAAACTCACCACTTCTGTTTCAGTTCGGGTTTCTTCGCGGCGGCCAGTTTCATGTCGTTCCAGCAGTGCCGGTTCAACTTTGGCCGTGATCCGTTCCGGTTTCCGCCGACCGACCGGCCGTTCAAGACGTTCAACGAGTTCGGAACGCTCTCAGAGGAGGAACGGATAGTGTTGCCCAGGTGCGGTGCGGGGTGATAAGAGGGGGGGAGGGGTGTGCTGTTGGTGTGACTTGGCAGATGAGTAGTACCTGAGAACGGTGCGTTATAGTGCTGAGTGTGTGTTGCGTTTTCCGCGTCCATATATAATCGGAGTTCGGCGATGGTAGGGAATATCTGTCTAGTTCTACCTGTATTTACATCCATGACTCCATTCCCTGAGGTGCTTCCCTTTCTGTATTCCTCCTGGATTTATGTTCTGGCCTCCTCCGGTAGCCCGTTTTCCCCCTGAGTCTCGGGACTCCCGGCGGGCGCTGTATCTACTCGTATGTCGATATTCCCTCTGGCACTCCGTCTTTTCCGGTGTCCTTCACACAACTGACGGTCCCCGTCGACCTCCTCCAGGCAAATCCGTCTCCACAAACTCCGTCAGATGAGCGTCAAAGAGGGCGCCTGCACGCTGTGTTTCGATAACCCGGCCAACATCGCGCTACAACCCTGCGGGCACAGGTAGGGAAACTGTCGTGATAGACCTGGTAGGAACGTGTATGCGTCGGTATGTGTAAGAGAGTCGAGGTTCCAGCAAAACGGCGCATATTAATGTGGCGCAGACTATATATAATTGGCCAAGGAAAGGCATCAATATTTTGGTTAAAAGCACATGCTAATTAGGTTAATGTATTCGTACTTCATTGCAGCCTAGACTTCAGCTGTGTAACGTACCGAACCGAAAAAAGCATGTGTAATGAAGGCGCTGAAGTAAATGTAGTTTTTTCAGTGCTTGTCAGTAAAGTGGTTATTACATTTCACCAACTTGTATCATGAGTGTCAATCTATGATTTTATCTGTCGCCCTGACCATCTTTGTGATTATCCCTGTGTTTGCGTCAGGGGTTTCTGCTCGACGTGCGCCGGCCAGTTGGAGCAGTGCCCTATGTGTCGAACGGAGATCGCAGCCGTGGTGCCGGAGCAGGACCAGCAGTTGTGACACCAGCTGTCCTTCGGTGAGAGCTAAACCACCTGACCTAACCTAACCTGAGAGGGGGAACAGGACCAGCAGTTGTGACACCAGCTGTCCTTCGGTGAGAGAGCCATATGGAGGGAAAGCTGGGAGAAAGCGAGGAAGAGAGATAGACGGATTAGTCAGACACAGCCAGGACCAGCAGTTGTGACACCAGCTGTCCTTCGGTGAGAGAGCCATACAGAGTGAGAGGGGGCGAGAGAAATACTCGTAGACACAGGACCAGCAGTTGGACACCAGCAGCTGTTATTCGGTGAGAACTAACGTAACTAACCAAACCTAACCTAACAGCGAACCTAACCTGATAGGGGGAAAGGAGCAGCAGTTGTGACACCAGCTTTCCCTTCGGTGAGAGGGAGGATTGGACTCTTTAGTATCCTGGGACTAGCAGGCCAGATAAGCAGCTGTCACTGTTGATTATCGCTCGTCTCCATGGTCGCTACCCTTGACTGCGGCAATAATCCCGTGTTCCCAGGTTTTGATCGTGTGTTTCTTGGCATCGCCGTATGCACTGAATCTCTGACCATACTCTATGCGTCCCCGGCTCTCAGCTTTGACTGCACTCTCATATTGTGTCCGCCAGGCTCTGCCATTGTGTACAAATGTTTTCCGGGACTTTGACGGTAACCTTGTCTGCCCCAGGGCTCTGACAGTAACCCTATGTCCCCCGGCAGGCTCTGGCAGTAACCCTATGTCCCTATGTCCTATAACCCTATGCCCCCCGGCAAACTCTGACCGTAACCCTGTCTGCCCCAGGCCCAGACTCTGACCGTGCTCCTGTGCCCCCACCCCCACCCCCGCCCCACCCCCACCTTCAGGCTCTGACGATGGTTGTGTTCCTCGGCAGGCTCTGACAGTAACACTGTGTCCCGCCCCCCCTCGTCAGGCTCTGACGCCGCGCTGGGAGTCATCTGCCTGCTGGCGCTGCGTCGCGCCTCTCGCGGCACTCCGTGCCGGTCCGACCGCTGCCCGGTCCCCGCCGGGGAGGCTCGTGACGCCCCCGGGACACCGAGCTAACCGCCCGCCGGGTCGGACGGGTGACTAGTCCCCTGAGCCAGCCGACGGCGACCGGTCCGTGGGGAAGGCTGGACGGTGCGCGGGGGACTATTCCAGTAATGGCGGGTGTGCGGGGGCGGTGATCAGGGGGTACTGGGTGGGTTTGTCAGGTGGGATGGGGAGGGTCTGTAGCGGGCTGGGCCAGGTATGTGTGATGTGGGTCGGGCGGGCTGTACTATCAGCTGTGAGCACGTGCTTCGTCCCTGCCGTCCGTGGGCTCAGTTGGTGGGAGAGCTGCCGCAGGACCGTGGTTTCCCTTATTCCAACTAGGGATATCCGAATGGGAATTATATGGTGCTACCGTTTTTCATGACCGCTCTGTAGATATTTTTGTAGAACCTTTGCCCACATCAATTTTTTAATCCTGTTCGGCGATAATCATGCGGGCACATGCACAATCATTTTAAAAACAAATTTGTCAAATTTAGCTTGGCTGCCTGTAGGCTACGCAGGGAACGATTCAAATTATTTAACTTCCGTGCTTTGCTGGGTTTAGGTGGGGTCGAATTGGTTGCACTTCCATCGTATGGTTCTTGGCGGGGACCTACCTGTGCGATAACCGAGCTCGGCCTGCTAATTGCTTGAACTAATTTGTGTTATTATACAAAGTATGTGTATTATTGTGTATTCAGCATCTATTTGTATTTTAAAATCATAGGCCAGTGAATAACCTACAAAAGTAATCCATCTTTTGACTACCTTAATGTATTTTTATTATTTTTTCCTTTTCATCGTAAGGTTTTTACGTTTTCGGATGATTTTCCGGCATTCCTCGATCCGATTCAAAGATTTGCTATCTGAATCCGTTGATTGGCTGATTTGGTGTCCGGAAGAGTGCATATTTTTGGGCCAAACGGAAATAATTTCATGGGATAGAAAAAGTTCATGCCGGAATAAAATTCATGCTAGTTCTTAGGGGCTCGTTGAACCGCAAATATTCCTGAATGTTGTTCGTTTCAGCTCAAGTTACAATATAATAATTAGGTACTGCTATCTTGCTCAAATTCTATGTTGAAAATGAAAAAATGCGTAAAATGACAAGCCCTCGGGTGTTATAATTTACGTAAGTCAACTCTAATCCGCAAGTTGAGTAGTAAGAGACAAATATTTATTATGAGACAGACACAACACATTCGGGTGGACGCGTTTTTTCGAGAGACTTCTTCAACACCCCTTCAGAAATGGAAGCAATACAAGCAATACAAGCACAGTGTGCTTGTATTGCTTCCATTTCTGAAGGGGTGATGAAGGAATCTCGACGAAACGCGTCCACCCGAATGTATTGTGTCCGTCTCATGATATCTAATCCGCAAATTGTGTGTATCTCTTGCTCCGCACTACCCTCGTCTTAACTGAATAACGGGAAGGGAAAATATTGAGAGCTAAAGATACAGGGGATTCAAACTTAGCAAAATCGGTGCTTACATCACGTCGCTTATAATGCAAACGAGCTTTTTAAATGTACGTTGCTTCAAACCGTATGGCTGGTGGTAGTATTTGGAAAGCCTGCGATGCTTCTTAGCTTGTTTCTGGACCATAATCCATGTCAATGTTTTACCTTCAAATGTAACTTGTCAAAAAAGTTCCATCTGTAGGGCGACAGCTGCTGTTTCATTCTTCAATGAATGTTAGTCGATCATGATCTTTCCTACATGTGCACTTTTCTGCATCAAGTCAACTGTCTGAACATTGAGATCGGTTCTGGCATTGATACGGTAGAGCATAAATGTCCCGTATGATGGAAAGTCGGTGAAAGGTTTGCGCTAAGCGGGAATGGATTGTCCTACCCGCTTAACGACTAACTCCTCCAGCCCATACATATTCTTATGAGCCCAGGCCTGATGGAAACATATCAGCGGCTATTAGCAGTGTTCTTTGTCACCCGAACTTATTTCAAAGCTCATACGAATGCCGAGTGAAAGCTATTTGGCCAGTTTGATGCAGCTTGATCCAGTTGCAACTGATTGCGCATCTTTTGTCATAAAAATCCGCTTTTTATCTTACGGTGAAAGGTTGAGCTAGAAGCAGTCTGATTGAAGAGCAATTAAACTTGCATCCATTGCATGTGTTGCATAATTTTGGAAAAATTCGCTCTGGCCATTTAATGCCCTTTAGAGTTCTTTGACTTAAAATGATCTTTGAGGATCTAAAAATGTAAAAAACGTAGTATTTCTCCGGTCCTTTCTGCCACACTTCGAATCCTTGTTTCCATCAGAAAGTGTGTCTGCAACTATTGTTTATCTTCACTGACACAAAAGTAAACGGCGCGGCAGTGCTCGGTATTTTTGTGATAAGGTCCTTAGCTTATAGACATCGTTTAGCCATGCTGTAGGCACGCACGGGTCAGTTTAGGACCAATGTGGCGCAGCCCGTCCCAGGGGGTCGCTGCAGTGGAGGGAGGCTGTAGTGCACATCGCAGTACGGGTCGGGAGGGCGCCGCGCCGGCTGATTTTGGTCCGGGGGCGCTGGGCGTCTGTCCGCGGCACCCCGGTGTGACCTGGGTGCTGGGCGTCCCCGGGGCGCCCGTCCGCGGCGCCCCGGTGACCAGGGGCGCCGGGCGTCCGACCTGAGTGCCTATGGGGCGGGGCAGTTCCGCTACGCCGGTTTGGAGGGTGTGTTTTGTACAGGGGCGCCAGCCGGCTGCCGTTTGCGTGCCCCGTCCCTGCGGGGTGCCCGTGCCGCAGCCCATTTTGCTCGCAGAGAGCGGCGGGCTAGTGATACGTCGATATAGAGTGTAGTTTAGTCCCATCTCGGCCAGACTGGGGTGACCGTGTCACCCTCCGGCAAGCAGTTCCCGGCGTTCGGGCGGCTATCGTTGTTATGACTATTTTGTTGTGCATTCTGTTTGTCTCCATTTTGCTTTGTGTGTTTGTAATTTCGAGGGTTCAGGGACGTCGTGTTGATTTACTGACTGTGCCGATCATAATTTATTTCACCCGTGTTCACAATTCGTCTCCATGCTCATTGTACACCATTTTAATGATTGTCGCGTGTATCTGACGGCTGGCTCGCTGTCGGCTCCCTCTCAGCAATGAACAGAGATGCGCAGCCCGCTGTGGGACCGCGCGAGAAATCAGAGACGTGCTACTCGATTTTGTCGAGTTTTGCCAAACGTACCGCCAGGCGCATGATGTTTGGTGTGCGCCGTTCCTCTCGGCCGCAGTTTCGCGACGAGAGTGACGCTCGTGCTGTGTTCTGGCGACTGACCGCCGGGCTAGACGCCGGTGCTGCCATAGGCATCCGTCGCTATAATCATTATGTAGGTAAGCTTGTTGATTGTATGGTTATTTCATATCGAATATATCTGTTATCGCTGGTGACCTGTTTGACTTGTGGTTTGGTGGCTGACTGACTTGCTAGGGTTGAGACCTGCTAGGTGTGGGGGGGGGAGTATCGACTGCGACTGGGGGGTGCGGACTGCGGATGTCCATGAAGCAGAGCAATAGGAGAGGGGGGACATCCATTTGTGCCACAGCTCATATTTGCCACGTTTATACCACATATTTTGTAGGTTGTAGCCTGTAGGTTGGGTTGGTAGGCTGAGGGTAAGGCTAGGTCAGATTTGATTTTGTTTTCTGCAATATTTGCTATGAAGACATTGCAACGCATAGTGAGGCGTGGACCATGTGGAATGCATGGTAAGCACACGAGCGATCAAATTATACTTGCAGATTTTCACGGTAACTAAAAATTCAAGTAACGATTTTTCGATTAGTTATGTTCGAGAAGGGCCTAACGTTGGCAATATTCGCAGGTTTCCATAGTAACCTGAAAGATTTGTGAGCAGGTGTGTAGGTTCACTTTGTTCAACTCTGTTTGTTGAACATTGACTCGCCTCATCGTATTTTATGTAAAATCCATCCCACAAATGTTGAAAAATTGCGCCATTTATCCTCTTAGCTTCCACACCACACGACTCCCTTACTTTCGTGAAGTCAACGTTACTCGCTTGTGCTGCTTTTTGAACATCAATATTTGGTGGAGATGTGACAAAAGCGCCATAACGGACTGTTTTGTTTATTGTCGACGTCAGCAGTCACAGAGTCTGGACGGAATCGGTAGGTGTCAAGTTTCATGGAAGAATTTTGCCTAGGTTAGGTGAAATTGTGAATATATTTTAGATAATTATCATTAAAAATGTGTCTGGACTGCAAAAATGATCCATGACAGGCGAGCGGCACCACTGCCAGGCGCCAGCCAGCGCCAGGCGTGAGGCGACCAGTCAGGCTCAGGCTGGAATTCCGCATTAACTGGCAATGAACAAAACTTGTTATTTAACTCTCAAATTGGCCATTTTTTGTTTCTGATGAATAAAGAATGTTTAAATGAAAAAGAAATTTCCCTAAGTTGAGCTGTTACATATGTATGGATCTCGTGAGATTAAGCGGGAGGTTTTGCACTTTTACGTTTCCTTTTATATCTCAGAAACTAATGGGTCTATGATGAAGCCATTTTACACGAGCATGGCCGGCTTGTGAACCAACAAGTCGATCACATCTTCAACACTGAAAAAGATGACAATGATATTAAGTACACTAAATTTTCTGGGTGCAAAACCTACCGCAAAAACCTGTGAGAACTGAGACCTGTACCTATAATGCTCTCTGACAAAGCAAAATTGAAATGACAGCAGTGCTGGGTGCTAGCAATGGCGGCATTGCACCGCTCCACTCAAAAGCTGCAGGGCACTACAGTCAAGCTGCTCTGGAGTCTGCACTGCACACCAGCTCAGTTTCTTGCTCTGACAACTGGCAAGCTTGGGAATCTCATTAGCATTGCTATGCTCACAGTCAACTCATGAGTCAAGGGCCTGGGATAGTGCCAGAATTTGTCTGTCTGTGTGAGGGCCCTCATCTAGCCTCTGTTGTAAATTTATCTTGATGTGATGTGAGGTTGTGTGGAGCAGCTCAGGCCTGAATGAACATTCCTGCCTCAATCCATTGTCATGTTAAACTGTGAAGTCAGAACTGATGTGTGGTGCACCTTTGTGCTAAAAAGTAGTGTGTGAGAGATACAGTGGTTTGGCAATTGGGGTTGTTCTTTCATTGCAGTTTGCGTTATCACAGCTGCTGATCTCTAAATGTTGTGGTAAAAACATCTTGTTTGGTAGATGTTGTTGCTGAAAATTGACATGTCACTGAATGGTTAGTGGTGGTGAGTGGTGCTGGTTTTCAGCTCTGTTTTCTTTTTTGCAGTCTGACCCAATAATCTCTGGTAATTTTTAGAAGGTTCTGTGGGTTTGAAATTTCTCAGCCACTGCAGATTTTTCATTTTATTTTACAATTTCTTAAATTAAAGAGATTGTTGCATTTGATCAAAATCAATTACTTTTGTAAAAGAAGCATAGGTACATGTTTCAGTTGATATATGTGATATATGAAAATGATATATGTTTGTTCTTTTCAGATAAGTGTCATTTGATGCCAAAGAATTTGAAGATGAAAGATCAATTGTAGAAAAACAAATATGGAGGGTATATTACACAAGTGGACTAACTACTGGAATGGTTTGTATTTTTATTTCTTATAACACACAATAGAAGGTTCAATTAGTGTCTGGTGAAGCTTTAGGATACAAGTTTGTTATTGATCTAGATTCTTGTTTTGTGTTTCTTTTTTCAATACTTTTGAACTTTCTTGAGACAAATACACGCTACAAGAAGGCGACGATCACAAACAGGCAGCTGCTGATGTTTGTTTTGGTGTCCAGTAGCCCCACTCCTCCCCCAACCTCCCCGTCAGGCTGGCAGCCGCGCTGGTTCATCCTCGAGGACGGCGTGCTCTCCTACTACCAGTCGCGCGAGGACGTCTCCAAGGGCTGCAAGGGCTCCATCAAGGTGTCGGTGAGCGACATCAGCGTCCACCCGACCGACGCCACGCGGCTCGACCTGACCATCCCGTACGAGCAGCACTACTACTTGCGGGCCGGCTCGCCGGCCGAGAGACAGCAATGGCTCATCGCGCTGGGCTGCGCCAAACAGGCGGCCGGACCGACCCGCGCCGGCCGGGACGCGCCAGGTAGGGGACGCATCGGTAAGGGGGTCTTGTCCTAGGTATGGTGAGGGGTATGACGGTTAGGACTAGGAAGGAGTGGGATGGTGAAGGTTCCGGTCATATCGGGCCAGGAGCATGACTGATACGACCTTCTGGGTCGGTAGGCGTTTCGTTGGGGTGCTATAGTCATGTTGTCATGTCTACTATTTGTGATGCTCAGTTGCCTGGATGGCAGATCAAAATGGTGTTTTGATATTGTTCTGCAGTTCCATATGAGTAGTGTTCTTTGGAAATGTGTTTCCTTTTTTATATTATCTTCATTGGTGTAGCTGTGTCTTAGGTAGGTAACTAATATCTTCCTTCCACCTGTCTCTTGACTGCTGTTCCACTTTCATCGCGCCTTAGTTCCTCCCCCTCCCCCCCATCCCTCTTGCCCGGATCCCCGCCCTTCCCTCACACACTCCCCACGTCTGACCGACACCTCTCCACCTCGACAGCAGAGGGCGCCACCGACTCTGTGCGCACCAAGCAGTCGGAGCTGCGGCTCTACTGCGACCTGCTGATGCAGCAGGCACACCAGGTGAAGACTGCCGCCGGACACGCGGACGGACCCCAGCTGGAGGTGAGCGGGTGCGGGCAGCGGGTGGTTGGGTATGGCTAGAGGGTAGAATAGGGCCCATCCTATAGGTGATCACAGATAGTTGTAGAATGGAGCTCAGTAGGATGCAAAGTAAAAAAAAAAAAAAAATGGAAGATTGACGACTCAAAATGTGCGTTCATAAAATGTGACGATACCTGACAGTTCATGTGGACACCATTTAGGTAGCGTATTTTAGTTAAACTGGTGCAATGAATTTCAAAGACTTTGCTTTTACGTAGACAGAATCTCAGGTGTTTGTTTGCACAAAGCACTGGCAATGAACAAACCTCTCAGGTTTTTGCACTCTCTGAATCTGTCTCCCCTTCTCTTTACTCTGACAGGAGCTGGAGGAGGCCACCTCACTGCTGGGCCCCACGTGTGACACCTTTATCCGCACCCTGGACGAGTGTATGGCGCTGGTAGCTCGGGCCTCGGCCGGCTCACCGCCGCCTCACGCTCCCGACCGCTCCGTACCGCTGCACGCCGTCCATCAGGGCAAGCGGGTCAGTCCAGAGGAGAGGAAGGGTAGTACATCCAGAACAACCGAGTCAGTAATGGGGAGAGGAGGGGCGTTTTTATCCGGGGGAACGGATCAGATGGGAGAGGAGGGGACATTACGTCCAACAGGGGAAGAAACCACATGCTCTAAACTGCAAGACGTGTAAATGAAGTGTTGCATGACATTCTGTAAACCATGCGAGCACGTTACCTTAAATGGCATGTCATATAATTGGAATAACAGCCCTCTTTGAACGCGCATACGCTCCGGTGTCTGACCGTCCCTGGTGCCACCACCGCAGGAGAAGCGGATGTCGACCTCTTCCAACGACTACTCGCGCACCAACTCGGGCGGCAGCTAGTCGACCAGCAGGAGCGGTAGCTGGCCGACCTCCGTCCCCGCCGTCCGAAGGCCCGGTCTAACCCTGGCGGGCGGGACTCCACGCCATAACACCGCTCAAACCGGCAGAGTACCATTACCAGCGGCGGCGCGGAGTACAGGTAACCTAGGGATGCACTCTTTATCGGGTGGGCTGCTGCCGTACATAACGTGATCTAAATGAAGACGGGACGCCGCCGCGGCGAACGCTTTAATCTCATGACTGTAGTGGCGTTCGGAGCTGGTGGATCTCGACAGGAACGTCATAACTCGCGTCACAGTACGTGCCTGCGTCATACAGTGACGTCAGATAGTGACGTGTCTGATGGTGATGTGTGACGCCTGAAGAGCGCTGAGGGCGTATGGCGTACCGTGCGCAGCGGTACGAAGAGTATATAGTGCATGTGATGCGCGTCTCTGACCAAATATCTACTGGGGCGCCGGGAAGGGAGATGCGTCGAGTCGCCAGGCTACGGGCTTTCAGCGGGCTGGGGCGGCCGTGTTGGGGGGGGGGGGGGGGGAGGAAGGGATGTAACCCCGGGTGCCATTTGCAGTCCACACAGTGTGCAATGGGTGAATTCTCGGTTCGCCGGGCTGCGGCAGTGTGCGGCCGACGGCACCGCCGCGTGGTTTTGTTCACTATTGGTGTTAAGTTTATCGGGCGACGTTAGTGGATATTTTATATATGGTGAGCTTGTCATGCTATATGTGCGTTGTATTCTGTGATGGGATTAAATATTCCAGTTGACATATGTTAAGTGTTTGCTTGAAGACGAATACCGCATTGCTTCTGAGCACTGAATACTGAGTAATAAGAAGCTGATACGATATCTGTACAGTAACTGTACACAAATCATAGCCGACAGCCTACCGGGGAGGATGCAGGGTGCAATGTCAACACTTATTCCTGCTATTGGAAAATGGAAATCCCACTTCGTGACGGCGTCAGGACGCAGTATCAGCTTGTTGCCCGAGGGCCATTCGTCCTGCGATCATTCTGGGTATCGCGATAGCGGGGATCAGCCCGATATTTGCTTGGCACCCTGTGTCGTGTTGTGGTTCATGGCCGATCGGATTTACAAGGATTTTCACAGGCAGTACCGCAATGCTTTTTTGCCTGAACCTTTTGCAACGTCTACTATTCGCCTTACTTTAAATCGAGATTTAAAATGGCGAGAGATCAAACTCTTATCGCTAGGCTGTAGTTGATTGAAGACACCTCGTCAAAAAAAAAAAAAAAAACGCGCACCCCGACCTGATGCGACCTCATCGTCGTCGCGTAATCCTTTGCGTCGGTCTAACTAAACCGCGCAGAAAGTGAGAATCGCTCTCAATTCTAAGGGAATTTCTAACTCGTACAGAGACGTGACAACGCTTTTGTCGTTTTGTCGTCCTTTCTACACAGTGCGTGACGGCGGCAACAAATGGGTTGCCGATATCAAATGAAAAACAGACAAAAACTCAAAAACAGACCCACATGGGAGCTTCATTGGTCGGTCTGTCGATGGCACGGTCCCTCCCCTGCCTGCGTGGGTGGACGTTGTTCCACAACTGCGCTTATCAGTTGAGGACGCCGCAATCGCGGCGTCGAGCCGATAGTGTGTGCCGGTCGGGAACACGTTGGTGACATTGGGCGTCGGCACTCGCGGCGAGGCAGTGCGGAACGCCGGATCGCTAACGCCAGGACTGTGCCGTAGAGACCCGAGGGAGACGCAGTCTTTGAGCCGTCCGAAGCCGCAGGTGGGGCCGTCATGGGTGACCCGGTGACCCAGCAGCCGGCGTCAATGGGCTCGTTCGGTTACGGCGCCGGGGTGCCGCCGGGACTGGCCTACCTCTCTCAGGTCGACCAGCTGCTCGTCCAGCAGCAGATGGAGCTGTGTGAGATCTTCAGCGGCTGCGAGACCAACAACAGGTACATCATCAGCAACACGCTGGGCCAGCAGGTGTTCTCCGGCCGCGAGGACACCAACTGGTGCACGCGCCAGTGCTGCGGCCCGATTCGGCCGTTCGATATCCAGGTGCAGGACGGCTCGGAGCGCGAGGTGCTGACGCTGCGCCGGCCGCTGCGCTGCCAGGGCTGCTGCTGCCCCTGCTGTCTGCAGCAGATGGAGGTGGTGGCGGCCGACGGACAGCTGCTCGGCTCCATCCGCGAGCGCTGGACCTTCATCAAGCCCAAGCTGACGGTACACGACGCCAGCGGTCGGCACGTGTTCACCATCCGCGGGCCCATCTGCAAGTGCTCGTGCGGCGGCGACGTGCTGTTCCGCATCCTGACAGCCGAGGACGAGCAGGAGGTGGGCTCCATCCGCAAACAGTGGTCGGGCGTGCTGCGCGAGATGGTCACAGACAGCGACACCTTCAGCGTCTCGTTCCCGATCGACCTGGACGTCAGTCTCAAGGCCACGCTGCTCGGCGCGCTCCTGCTGGTCGACTTCATGTTCTTCGAGTACTCCAACTAACGTGCGGAGGCGGCGCCGGTGAAGACGGTGCTCCTGTTGTTACGTGTGTCCGCATCATATTCACTCTGAAGCCGGTGCGCGAGTTACATGTGCGCTATGGAACGCTGGGACTGGAGCCCACGTTGACGATGCATGCATACCGTAGTCATCCGCTCAATGTGACGGGAGCAGCGCGAGTGGCGACAATTCACGAGACACGAGGGATGAGCGTGTACGTAGAAACATAACATATGCTTCTGATTAGCCAATAACCATACAAGCTAAACCGCTGCCATGAGACTAGTTCGTTTCCTGACTGGCAAAGCGAACGCCGAGCGTGACTTTTTACGTGACCTTTGCGTTATTCAGCAGTTACTTTACTTAGAGAAAGCTGACGACCTATGCATACTGTTATAGTGTTATGGCTCCAATTAGCGAATACATAGAACAGCCAATCGTCGGCGCCGACGTAACCCTTTCTCCTCCCCCCCCCCCCCTCCTTGCTACCCTTTATCCCCATCAACGGAGAAGTTTATGCCCCTCCTTCCCAACGACTAGCAATCTTACATCATATCTCCAATTTGTGTAATTACCAAGTCGGTAGAATGCGTTGCTCACAATGGAGCACTGAGATTCTGCATCCGTTGACCGTTTTCGACAGATGATCGATAGACATTTTCAGGGCGAGTTGTGGCACATTATTGTTTTATGCGAATGGCGCCAGACCTGAGTGTCGGGTTTCTACGTCTCGATGTGTTGCCATCAGACCAATGCGACTTTTCTTGCGCTGGTAACCCCCACATTTTACATGCCGTGCAATCGAAAATATTGGACAAGTGTCATCAACTCAATTATGAAGTACTTCTTAGATCCAATTCGTATTTCATAGCAATGCCAGCCAGGTCGGCCAAGTGCCATTGCCCCCCCCCCCCCCCCACACACACACACACGCACTTTGACCGATAGTGCGTCGAGTGCTTGTCCAGCCTAGCTGTTATGCTCAACCTACGTGGGAGTGTATCTCAGCAGTCTTTCGCCCAATGGTTCAAGGTTTGGTGTTGGCTGTTATTTGGATTTGTGACATGAAGTGACTCAATAGTGCGCTGGCGCTGTTGCCATTAGCCAAACTGAGAAGCCATAGAAAATTTAGCGCAATTTTTGAAGTACAGTGCACGTTTGTCGGTAAATAAGTGAAGTAACACGGGTGAGAGGTCGGCCTTGACATCATCTCATACCTATCAATCAATTTAATACACCCATGCCTCATGGAATGGTCTGCATTTGCCTGGAGTTGATAAAATGTGTGAACTCAGCGGCCAGTAATGAAAATAGTAAATACAGCGCCCGTACAGATAGGAATATCCTCCTTGAAATACATCGCTCATAACGCTACTGTTCCGATTTTTTATTACAACAGTTCTAAAACATGACCGCACTACTAAAATCTTGGCCGGCGAGCTAGCGCGTAAAATCACGCTGAGGATAAAATCACGGCGCAGATGAAGTGACTATGTACAAAGGCGACAGTGGCAGTAAGACATCCAGGCTAGGACTCCATCTAAAACCGACAGCTAAACGCATGGCAGACGTACAACAGCAGCTGAGCGGCGCCGGGCTCCTCCCCGGCCGTCGAACACGATCACTATGTACACGATTTACGCGTCTCAGACGCCGGTCTGGGCTATTGGCTCAGGGCAGTCACACTCAGACTCCTGACTTCACGCAGTCAGTGGTCAGGCACAGGACGCGCCGCGCGGCGCACGGGGCCGGGCGGCGGCGGGACGGACGGTCGGGCCGCGGCCCGCTACTCAGCTCGAGCCGGACGGCTTGGCCGCTCCGCCGGCCGCCGCCGGGTGCTTCTTCACGTGCTTCACGATCCACGGGTGGTTGCTGACCTCGTCCAGACTCAGCCGCTTGGCGGGGTCCTTCCGCAGCAGCTGTGGGGGCGCAGAGACAGGTCAGGTCACACGGGAAACCAGCTGCTCGGGTCATACAGGAGACCAGGTCAGGTCACACAGAGACCAGGTCAGGTCACACGGGAGACCAGCAGTCAGTACCAGGGTGATATGCAATCACTGACCGTTCCCAAAAGTAATTGACCGCAATAGATAAAATGTCGCGAAAGATCCCCCCCCCCCTCCCCCCAACTATACGTCAAGCTAGCATTGCATTGATGGTGTGACAGGCAAATGGCGCATACAATTACAGATTAGCCGGAACGACAAAGCCAACAGAGCTTCGGCGGTCAGGTGGTTGCATTTAGAAAAGGATAGCAAGACGGCGATAAAACAAGTCACTATCCCAAATTGAACCGAGGACGAAGAACAGGACCTAAATTGATTGATATTAGCCGTTTTCACGACGGCCATCTGGTACCCATTTGGTGCACATCTGGTACAGATTAGGTGCAGATTTGGTCAAATCAGGTTCAGTGTGTCTCTTAGCAGCTATCAGCTAGGGTTGCACTAATTGCTTATATGCCTGCTTTGTCATATTATCAGAGAGCATCATCGATTAAAACACTGAAATAAATTCATAAAATGAAGATATTTGCTGTAAAAGAAATTAGGTGCAGATTTGGTCAAATCAGGTGCATTCGCCGGATAGCCCGTCGTGAAAACGGCTCCTGTCTGTGCGTAATGCACCTTTACGCAGGAGAGAATGGAAACGGTGAAGCTCCGTAACAAACACCGGTACGAAAGAAGCCGCCTTAACAATGTGTAACATACAGAATGCTGACAGCTCTGGCGGTACCCATAATGACCTAAAACAGCAACCAACTGACCTCGTGCACGGTATCTGGTCAAACTACCAATCATCTCAGAATAAAACCCTCAGCGCCCTATCAGGAACCACACAGTGAGATTATGTACCAAGATGTCGTGGTGAGCAATTGGTCGCTCAGGCTGTCTGTCATGCCGCCAAGATAACCCCGTGATCCTGCTGCTGACACTTTTACTGCCCATCATGTAAGGGGAAGGGGCGCGTGGGCCGCCCTGCAGACCAGCCTATCAGCGCACGGAGGCGGCCGACCGCACTATCAGCAAGCCTACCGTTGTGCACGGGCCAGGGCGGATTCAGCCATCAGCCGCGATACCGGTCGCCGACTACAGGAAATACCCGGGGTGAGCCCCACGCGTCCCGCAACGTAACCACTATTGGCGTTCGGACACCCAGACCTGCCTGCCATCTGCCGACTAAACACCAAACCTCGCCTTCCCGCCGCAGCCGCCAGTCCAGCGGACCGGCGCCCCTCTCAGCCCGATTTTAGGACTAAAGTACGTATCGCTAAAGTACGTAGGACAAAAGTACGCATGCAAATGTTCGTACGCAAATATACGTAGGCGATAAAGTTCGTATGCCAAAAGTACGTACGCAAATGTTCGTACGCAAAAGTACGTATGCAAAAGTACGTAGTGTATAAAGTACGTATGTCAAAAGTACGTACGCAAATGTTCGTACGCAAAAGTACGTATGAAAAAGTACGTAGTGCATAAAGTGCGTATGCCAAAAGTACGTACGCAAATGTTCGTACGCAAAAGTACGTATGCAAAAGTACGTAGTGTAAAATGTACGTATGACAAAAGTACGTACGCAAATGTTCGTACGCAAAAGTTCGTATGCAAAAGTACGTAGTGTATACAGTACGTATGCCAAAAGTACGTACGCAAATGTTCGTACGCAAAAGTTCGTATGCAAAAGTACGCAGTGTAAAAAGTGTATGCCAAAAGTACGTACGGTTCGTATGCCAAAGTACGTAGTGTATAAAGTACGTATGCTAGAAGTAGGGTATAGTAGTGTAAGTTGAGCCACTTTTTCTTTATTGCTGCTCTGTTGCCATACTACAGGGAACTCTTGATAAATTCATATACCAAATATATAATATAGCTTTGTCCATTTCGCCCATTTACTCATCGAGAAATTTTGCTATGCCTTGTAACAAATGCTCATTAAAAAAAAAGAATAAGAAAGGTATTACACATTGATCAACTTAACCCAAGGGTGGGGTACGTACTTAATACCCTACGTACATTTGCTATACGTACTTTTGTCCGTGACGTACTTTTGTCCACACGTAGGGTAGACCGGGGCAAGTCGCCCCGCCGAGGTAAACAGCCTCACCGATGTTTCTCGGAACTGGCAGGGTTCTCTCTTCTGTTAACCCGGCCGGGCCCGGAGGGTAATTCCAACCACCGCAGCCCGGGGAGGGGCGTTTTTCGCCCCCCCTGTCTAACTCCGTAAATAAGAGAGCTACGCAAACAAAGGCGATACCAAACAAAGGTCCTTACGAGACGCTTCTAAAGCACCTAAATTTTTTGACCTCAGGCCAATTTTCAAGGTCAGAGGTCAAGGTCAAAGGCAAAAACCGGCACATGTGTAGTGATCTCAAAGTGAGCGTACTAGAGGACGGCAGGATGCATAAAACCGGTAACATTGGGTGTCAAACGAAAGAAGAGAATCTGAGAATTCCGAAAATGTGCTCAACATTAAAGGTCAAGGTCAAGGTCATGCTCAAAATTGACCTCAAACTTACACTTTTTCGTACATCTTGTGTGTCAACTTCCAAGATGTTTTGAAATGTTTTGAGGCTTATCAGGTCCCTATTTGTGGTTCATCTTACGATACAAGGCTGCTCAAAGGTCAAGGTCACAGAAGAGAGTCCTTGCTAGAGGCTATTTCACTGATTCAAGTTAGTAATAATAAATAAGACAATTTTGCCATCCGGAAGCTCTAAATAAAGGCTTAGAGGAAAATAGATGCCAGATTCGTGATCAGCGGGTACGAATCCATCATAAACGACTTTTGATGTGTCAAGGTCAACCAAAAGTCATTCGAGGTCACATGAGGTCAACATAAAACTTGCCTTTTTCCAAACAAAATATATATATCATTCGACGCGGCTTGACAAGACAAATGCGATGATACCACTGCCGTAGCTCTAGGACCTTTTTTGTCGAAGTTATTTGCGAAAAACTAAAACCACAGCTCGGGGTCATTGACCTGACCTCTGATCTCAGGTCACTAAAACTATTTTTGTATTTTTGTCTAGGTCAAATGCTACACAACCGTGCTTGTAATTTGTCTTTATCTTTAAAACTCTATTTTTAGCAGCTATTTGAAGTTCGCGTCTGTGACACCGAAGTTTGCCGTGCAGGGGTCTAGAAAAATCGACTTTGTGACGGCATCAATGGGGCTAGGTCCAAATTTTTTACTTCAGATGATGTCAAATTGACGGGAGAAAAGGTACTGAAAGTTTTGCTTTCCTATCCCTAAGCGCTCGGGAGCTATCGCAAATATTCGCCAGGAAGGGGGGGGGCGAAAAACGCTCCCCCCGGGCCCGCGAGGGCTAATCTAGTGTATGGGGCTTCTTGCCTCAGGCCGTGGGGCGTTTTGCCCTGGGGTTGGGGCAAAATGTCCCATTTGCAGTTGCTTCACAAAGCACTTCCTAGCTGTGAGTCCGATCATAAGTGAATGAATTTGAGGGATGGAATTTAGAGTAAAATGTCCAAAGAACACATTGAGCACAAATTTGGCCTTCCAGGTGATGTGAGACAAAAGTAGGTACCTATGTAGCAAAATAAATTATCTGGGGCGTCTTGCCCAAGGCTTACTTTATACCCTACGTACATTTGCTATACGTAGGCTATTGTACGTGACGTATTTTTGTCCATACGTACTTTATACCCTACGTACTTCTGCGATACGTACTTTTGTCCGTGACGTACTTTTGTCCATTATACGTACTTTTTACCCTACGTACATTAGCTATACGTACTTTTGTCCGTGACGTACTTTTGTCCATACGTACGTCGTCCACTCCAGAAGTTTTGAGACTGCCCTCGTAAAAGCTCTATTAACAGTGCTAGATTATTGTTGTTTTCATGTGTTCTTACCACAGTTGTCATAACCGTACTTGCGTAATTTGTTTTTTCTATGTTGCAAGAGACGGCTAGGGCATCACCCTGAACACGTCAAGTCGCACGCGGCTTGTCACAGCGGCCAGTGTACATCATAGTCAGGCTGTTAATGTGAGGACAGCTTTGAGGGTCGCTAGGCAATAAAATTTTGTGATTAGCTTGATAAAAGTACCCCAGAAACATTGAAAATTGACTCTTCGGTGACTTGAGACGAAAACTGGATCTATCTTTAACGATCCAGACACCAAGAGACAAAGTGTTCAATGGAAGCACACTGACTCCCCTAGACCCAAGAAAGACAGACAAAGCAGGTCCACTGCGAAGCTCATAATAATCCCGTACTTTGACAAAAAGGCATTATATTCATTAGCTGGGTCTCTTGCACGGCCAGATGATCAACAAGGAATGATTCCTGAAAGTTCTGAGGGAGTTGACAAAGAGAATTCGCCGCAAGAGGCCGGAGCTCTCCAAATTTGGCCAGAGGCACCCGCACCAGGGCAACAAACCCACCCACAAGTCCATCATGGTGACGAGCTAACTAATACAAATGGGCATCAAAACTGTCCCTCACCCTCCCCACAGTACAGATCTGGCCATCTGTGGCTTCTGGATGTTCCCCAGACTGACATAGAAGCTCAGGGGCCGCCGTTTTGAGGATGAGGAGGAGATGAATGAGGCTGTGACAGAGGCCCTGGGCACCTTCACTTTGAAGGACTAGCAGCGGGCCTTCAGGAAGTGACCGGAGCGCTACAACAAGTGTATTGAATTCGGGAGGTCTCATTTCGAGAGTCACTGAAGTTTCATGCTTTTCTGAAATAACTAACCGTCTCTACTGAAAAAGTCTCAAAACTTCTGGAGTGCACCTCGTACTTTATACCCTACGTACTTCTGCGATACGTACTTTTGTCCCTGACGTACTTTTGTCCATACGTACTTTATACAGTACGTACTTCTGCGATACGTACTTTTGTTCCAGACGTACTTTTGTCCATACGTACTTTATACTGTACGTACTTCTGCGATACGTACTTTTGTCCTTGACGTACTTTTGTCCATACGTACTTTATATTGTACGTACTTCTGCGATACGTACTTTTGTCCCTGACGTACTTTTGTCCATACGTACTTTATACTGTACGTACTTCTGCGATACGTACTTTAATCCTACGTACTTTTGCTTACGTACTTTTGTCCTACGTACTTTAGCGATACGTACTTTTGTCCGTAACCCTCTCAGCCCTGCCACTCACCCTGCGCACGAGGTCCTTGGCGGGCTCGCTGACGTGGCTGGGGAACGCCAGGTCGACGCGGGAGATTCGTTGGTACGTCTCCTGGTTAGTCTCGGCCTCGAACGGAGGTCGACTGACGAGGAATTCGTAGCAGAGGATGCCCAGCGACCAGATGTCCACCTTTTCGTCGTGCTCGTGGCCCTCGATCATCTCGGGCGGCAGGTAGTCGAGCGTGCCGCACAGGGTGCCGCGTCTGGGAGCAGAGGGGGAGGGGGAGGTCAGGACTATCGCCGAGGGGAGTCAACAGGAGAAGCTCCTAGAAGTATACTTCAGCCTGTTATAGGAACATCCTAACCAGCCTGCGATTCATAAATATTGCTTTGGTAATAGCAACGCGGTACAAGGTAGGCCACGTAAGCCTAAGACAAAGACCAGTCGCATTTTGTCTGAATTGGTGTGAATAATAATTAACACAGCAGAGGGCATGTGTATAAAATCAGACAATGACCAACAACGTTCTAACCTGCCCAGGAGGACAAGCACATTGTACTATTGTACAATCACAAGAGCTATCCAGGAAAACATCCAGTCACTCCATCCAGATGCCTTTTTATCGCACATTTCTATCCCTCCCAACCGCCACCCGAACTGACCTGGACGAGGGCGCGTGCACCGACCAGCCAAAGTCGGCGATTTTCAGCTCGCCCTTCAGACCGAGCAGCAGGTTTTCCGGCTTGATGTCCCGGTGGATCACCTTCCTAGAGTGGCAGTATTTGAGCGCGTCGGCCATCTGCGCGATGTACTGGGCCGACCTGTGGGAGCCAGCCGAGAGACGCCGCGGGTCAGCGGTCGGTCGCCGCCGGAAGGTCGGGCGGCTCCGGCAGACACACGACTAACCAGCAGAAAACGCTAGTCTGACATGATTCAATCAATATGCGAGCACTATGGTGGCGATTGGTGTTTCAAAGTGGCATGATTATAACATCAAGACATGCAAACATCCCCTTCCCCACGTAACGATTGACTGCGATGCCGGACCTGCTCTCGACCGGCGTGTTACCCACAATAGCCCAGCCTCCGGCAGCGGCGGCCACACCCACCTTTCCTCGTCGAAGCGTTTGTTGGGCTGAGACTGCAGCTCCTTGTACAGCTCGCCCTTTGGCGCAAACTCCAGGATCAGGTAGATGCGCTTGTCGTCGTAAAAGTAGCCGAACATCTTCAAAATGTTCGGATGCCTAAAGGAAAACAATTATTAGAATAGTTGGCACAACTGCGTTAATTTCTCAAGTTACACAATAACCTTCGTCAGTAATAATATTCATGGGATTATCACAAGCAGGGCTGCAGAGTGCAGAGTTAGAGTTGAAGTCGGCCTGAGTCGACGGTACTGCAATGACTCAGAGTCGGAGTTGCTGAAATCTTACATACCGAAGTCCGAAGAGTTAATCAGGAATCTAAGCTGGAGTCGGAGATAAAGAAATCAAACGACTCCGCAGTCCGCTCAGCCCTGATCACAAGGGTAACTTTCGAAATCAATGAAAAATAATGTAGCTTTCAATGGAGCAGTTCTTTGTTGCGAGCTAGCGGGGTAATACCAAGTCTGAATTAACGGATCCACTACATAAAAATAAGCGCATTTCATATGCGTTCCTTTAGTAGGCATGTCTTCTGCGTATTATAACTAAAGGGTTTATTGCCCAGTCCCATTTCACCAGAAGGCCGCGTGCGCGGCTGAGCCCCCTGGGCCCTGACTGACCTAAGGTGCGACTGAATCTCGATCTCCCTGCGCAGCTGGTGCTCCACGTGGCTCTTCTGCAGCTGCGTCTTGAACAGCACCTTCAGCGCCACGATGTAGCGCGAGTTCTTCTCACGCGCCAGGTACACATTGCCAAACTTGCCCTTGCCCAGCGGCCGGCCGATCTCGAAGTCGTCCAGCGTCCACTTCCTACAGACAGACGGGAGACGCCGACATTGTATGATGGACAATGCACACACACGACAAGGACTGATAGTTTCGGTGAAATATGTCACAATCAGTTTGATCTTGCTAGCGGCATAGGTAGTGTGAACATGGATTATGACACAAAAGCTACTGCAATGCTGAATTAGCCGCATTTCTGGAACCCTGACCGAGGACAGGTAGGCAGGAGGGCCATATACACATATCCCAAATATTTCAGACTGGCAGTATTATTTCAGCCACAAGTAACAAAGTAAGAAAGCTTGCTCCAAAAGACAATATAGCTAGCATTCACTCAGTCACCCTACGGCCTACTTCAATTGATATTTGATAGCACATCATTGGCACCCACTTTCCAACTCATTGTAATAGTTACACATCGACAATCTCGATAAATTCAAAGATTCAGGTTTCCCAGAAACCACAATTTGGACCGTAACAGCCACCTAAGATCTCGCCACCACCGCTCAGTTCCCGACTGCCCGCCCCCACTCACTTGACGGGTTTGCTGGCTGTGGAGGCGGCCGTCTGCCCCGAGCCCGTGGGGACGTTCGCGCTCGACTGTGAGAGCGGCACACGTGCCGCCGACGGCGTCGTCAGCTTGGTGTCCATCTTGGCCGGTCGTGCAGACATGTTCTCCTGCTGGATGAGCCGCACCTTCTCCATCAGCTGGATAGCAGCGGTAGAGCACACCGCAGTCTGTGCAGGCAAACAGGATACACAAGTCAGCAAGTGACAGGGGTATTTGGTGATAGAATAAAATACAGCCCTGGTCAGATTAAGTGGATTTAAGGACCAAAAATAGAATAGCATAATGCATAAGTACTGCGACCGGGACATCTCATATATTGAGTAAATACCATGCTATTGGAGGGGAGTACTAGGGGCAGGGCTGCGGAGTCGATGGATTTTCGGCGACTCCGACTCCGGCTTTCAAAAACCAGCTCCGACTCCGACTCCGGGCAGAATTGTCGACTCCGACCGACTCCAACTCCCGACTCCGACTCCGCAGACCTAGCAGGACTGCGGAGTCGACAGATTTTCGGTGACTCCGACTCCGACTCCGGCTCGGGTTTCTAAAATCGACTCCGACTCCGACTCCGGTCACAACTGTCGACTCCGACCGACTCCGACTCCGCAGCCCTGACTAGGGGTAGGTGTAAGCCAGCCTAATTTGAATTCTTTCAACTTTATTTAAGCACATTGTGAACAAACTTCTACTTATCTCTTTGCACAAAGGTAAGGGCAAAAGGCAAGGGCAAAACTAGAAAATAAATCATACCCATTTAATTGTTCATAAGTACCTATGCAATGGATTCGGTTTACCTGGGTATGTAATTAATCAGTTCCTTTCTGTTGTCAAAATGTTAAGTTTTCATCAGCTGGTCCAGAGCCAAAGAGCTGAGGGCAGGCCACTTCATTTTTTAGGGGGAGGGGGCAACTTCTTAATGGGACCAGACCAATATATTGGCAACCATTCATGAACTGGCCAGTCTAAGGACAAATACCAAAGCACGTGCAAAGGATCATACAAATTAGCATTTAAATGTGGATGGATTCTTCAAAAATTACACTGGATACATATTAAAATCAGCATATATACAGGGTGTTGCAGATAAATCCGACACTTGAGAGGCAAAATACGAAATCGGCAATGAAAGCATGAATATTGCACACACAGGCCTGTGATTTTATTCAGCACCAGTTCGAGTCATATGCTGCACTTCTACTCGATGTAACCGCCGTCGGCGGCGACGACAATCTCAAGCCGAGGGCGAAATGATTCGCACGCCTTGGCGACCGTGTCCTTGTCTACGGCGGCGATTTCTGCCACGATGGCGGCCTTGAGAGAGTCGACGGTATTGTGTGCGTGCTTGTTGGTCTTGGCCTCGATCACGCCCCAGAAGAAATAATCGAGGGGTTGCAGTCAGGAGAGGAGGGCGGCCACAAGTCCGGCGACCAGTGGTGAGGGACGTTGTTGAGCAGCCACGCCTGCGTCGTCCTGGCCTTGTGCGCCGGGGCGGAGTCTTGCTGGAAGACGTGGGGGCGTCCGTTGGAGATCCTGTGTTTGTGTTTTGGGGGAGGCAATTGATCATAGAGATGTAACATACTGCCCAACTTTTCATCGTGAGCATAGCACTCGAATAAACACGTTTTTTCCAAGTGTCGGATTTATCTGCAACGCCCTGTATATATATATATATATATATATATATATATATATATATATATATATATATATATATATATATATATATATATATATATATATATATATATTATGCATAATCACCCTAAGAGTGACATTACAAGGCTAAGGGTCTGTTCCTGTTGCTCCTCCAACCTCCTCCAAGCTCATCTTGATTCCACATCTCACCACCACTATTTGCCTCCTCCCTCATCCCAAACAAAAGTTGGATTTTTGGAGGAGGCTCGGCGTAGACATATTTGGGGCGTGCAATACAAATGCGATTTTTTTTAAAATGAGATTTGAGGAAAGGGAAAATAATTTTAGTGATCGTTGAAGATGGGATATCTTTTAATAGTAATGTTCAATATTAATATATGGGTATTTTATTAAAAAGCGACTACTATCTCTTAATTTATGTTTGCGCGCCATAAATCGCCGACCATTACAGACCTCAAACATCTTATTTCCTCGCAAAAATGTTCCCGTAGCTCCTCTGAAAAGGCTCTCCTCCAAGCTCATCCAACCTCATCTGAGATTTTTTGGGAGGAGCGACAGGAATAGACCCTAAAACCTGAACTAGCACCAGTAACCACAAAGGAAGCAATTAACAATATTACATTAGTTACTAGACTCTGGAACCAACCCTGGTCTAAGATGTTCTGCATTTGCAAAAAAAAAAATACAAGCATATCAATCTTACCTAGTGAAAGTGCTTAAACTGCACACGCTGGAAAATATTGTAACGCTGGAAATTCAGTCAGTTAGCAATTGAAATTTTGGAGCTAGACCAAGTCTCTTGAAGTTTTACTGTTTCACCAAGGCACCCTTCCAACAAATACAATTCACTGCTCTTTTCAAAATGTCTACAGTGAGCTTCACTGAGGGTTACGTTGTCATAGAAATAGACAGGCGACAAATAAAATAAAATTTGAATGCAGAGACGCCGAAACGACGCTCTCCTCCACAAACGCCGCCGACAAATTTAAAATCCCACGTTAGGGAATCAGCTGCTCCAACGGCATTTAAAGTTGCCCGCCTTTCATTGGCCGCTGCGTACAGCCTGAAAGATAAAGCTCAGTTATTTTCGATTTAGTAACTTGTTAAGAAACAAGTTTAATGTAAAGACATATTGAATATTAGGTTTTCAATGAATATAGCATTGAATTAAGTTTTCTTCTATAAAATACACTAAATGAAGCGTAAATAATGGCGCTCTGGGTTAGAGACTGTACAATAGAGGTGTCGCAGAGTACTTTAGGGAGTCTTGTGTAGGGGGTACTGTATTGATCAAAATACATTTGTGTAATGTTGTTTAGCATAAATCTCAGTGAAATGCTGAATTCAAAGTAAGTTAAGTAATATTCATTGAAAATTTAAAAGTCTGTAACCTAAGGAAATCTTTGTCAAGATGTTCAGTGGTCAAAATATAAAATTTTTGGTACTGGTAGATAGAGATGGAGAACAAAAATCGTGGGCTCGATTGTGACGCAGCTACCAGTCAGGGTATATTGAATTAGGGGGTAGGACCAAGTTTAGTAGGCATGATCTCAGCAATTATCTTGTTTTATATGGCGGTTTTCATTATCACAATATTATTTTTGATATTATTAAGTTTGTATATCTCGGTTTTACGAAAAATAGTAGGGCAACAAAGATAAATTTCGCGAAAAAATAATTTTAGTTGGAAACATCCATTCTGGTATGCAAAATTCAGTATGAAGCCCAGTATGGTGACCGTCTACTGTGCTTCCAAGGCTGAGTACCTGACATCAACAGGAGTTGTTTACTATTTTGCCTTACGTTGCTAGGTGGTTACTAGGGAGCTAAGCATACTCTCTTGCGCGATCATTTGCACTTATTTTTCCTCATTATATCGACATGTTGCTGTTTCTGAGACCTAACTCATGCTAAGAAAAAAGCAGTTTTCTTAAAATGTGTATTTAAGTGCCGTAGTATTAACACAGCTCTGCAATTATGCTTAAATATCTCTAAAATCCTGACTTCCCGGAAAATTGATGGTGCTGATGGGAATCGAGCCCGTCGATGAAAAGTAAGTCAATATTCAAAGGCTTCAAAACGGTATTTTTTGTTGTTCTGTGAAATAGCAATGCAGAGACCGATGACAGTGCCAGTGTTGAGCTTTCCAATGAAGCATTGCAATCAGTAGTAAGGTTATTATCATCTTAGATATATTCCATCAAATATTAGAATTCTGCCATTGTCTTGCTGTAGAACAGGGTTACTTTCAGTCTCTTGGGAACACGATTTGCCGGTCTCAGATCGAAAAACACTTCAAAAAGCGGTAATAGACAATGAAATTTCCCACCTGATAGCATCTCGGGTTTTTATATATCCTGTCTAGAATTTTCATAAATCAGACGTAAAAATGGCCAATTTCGTCAGATTCCGAGTTTTTGCCATTGGGTCTAATGTAAAGCATGGCTACTTTCAGTCTCTTGGGAACACGATTTCCGTACCTCAGATTGAAAAACACTTCAAAAGTCGCAGATAGTAGACGATTTAATCTACAAGATTGCATCTCGCTTTTTTCTGTATCTGGTCATGTATCTTCATAATACCCTCTCAAATATAGTCAATTTAGCATTAAAGTCTATGGATTTAGAAGAATTTTCATATCCGACTAGATTTGGGCTACCATGTCTGTCGACCGGGGGCCGGCTACCAGTTGCGCTTTGGAACCGTGGGTGTGTGCGTCGAAGGGTAGCCTGGGTCAAAAATAATTCAAGATGGTCGAAGGCGGAATGAAATGTGTCAAGTACCTTATTTTCTTCTTTAACTTCATATTTGTGGTAAGCTTTCATATTCCACTGAAGTTGGTTGGCCCGTTGACTGCCGAAATCAGTTTTTTTATTCAGTAGGCATAAAGTGTTCACTGTTCAATATTGATGCATTTCAATTTGTGCATTTCTTTTTATAGGTTGGCTGGTAAGATACAGATTTAATAAATGTGTTTCCAACTTTCTATTTTTGGACATGATGGAGCCTGGAGGCTGGATATGGCACTTGCAGAAATTGTGTAGAATTTTGCTAATTTTGGATGTTGTGAGTGGGTGCTGTGTATGCTTAAAATTGCAATGTGCTCACTGCTCGCCCTTTTGAATCTGCCATCCAGATCCGGGCTCAGATGTCACTGCTGGCAATGATGATTATTAGAAATAAAAATCATTTTGGTGCCAGAGTTTCATTTTTTCACAAGTAAGAAGTTAAGGAATATCATTTGCCTTAAAAATGCCATTTGAATATTTTCCAATTTCTTTGATAGTATGAGAACATTTTTCTGGTGACTAGATACTAAATTTTGTATCAATGGATCCCTATCTGATGTTGGTTGAAACCTGTTAAAAATATATTAAAAATCTTACCCTACCTTAATTTTGTCAGAATTTGGAGTTCACTTGGCATCTATAACCACATTTTGCACCCCGTAAGAAGTGGTGAAATGCAAACGAAAAGAATGAAGTCATCGTTTTAGGCTTGGGAAGTTAACCACAGAGTAAATGATTGCATGAACTATTTTCTAGTTTGATATATGGTTTGTGGCAATATGGTGCATTTTTCACTCAATCTTAAGCCCAGGGGTGCAAAAGGCAAATTTCACATATATTTAGCTTCTAATGTCTCGAGATTGATTGATTTCCCAGGATGATTGCTATTGTCATGTTGATGGTATTCACTGTCTCATGTCTTGATATCTTGCCAGCACAAAACATAATGTAATTCCTAGTGATCCATCTAGCAAGAGCTGAAACACATGCAGGTTGAGTCAAGAAAGGCATTTGAGATGATGGTTTTGTTTGTTTGCCCTCAATACATAACTAGCCTAAATCATAAAATTTAGGTTTAATTACTTTTTATGATTTCTTTATTACATATATTGCATGATTTTATTTCAGTTCCATTAACCCAGCATTTATGAACTTCATTCCTTGACTCTTCAATAGTTAATTTTACACTTGCTGGATTGCCTGAACTTAAATTCCCCAAGCGGCTTGCAAATTAGCTCAAATTAAGTCCCAAAGTTGTCTTTATGTATCAATGTATCACTGGGTGTTGTACCTATTAAGGTACTTCAGAAGCATTTTTGCTGCTATTAAGATGTGGAAATTGAATAAGGTTATGAAGGATGAGGAGTACCTATGAATAGTGACCTGACATCAGGGACACAGCCAGCCAGCCTCCCTCCTGACTGCCCGTTTGGTGCCTGCGATGTCTGCAGATCAGTGTCCGAAAATTAATCGATTTGGGTGTGAAACGACATCCAAATGAAAACCATTTTCCACTCTCAATTCAACCTTTCAAGATCAATTTTCCACTCCGAACGTAAAAAGCAAAGGGCATATGCGTACCTGGTCTTATCGATCGATAACAACATATCGAATATCGATGCATCCTACATTAGACGCTCTACCCTATCAATTTTCTTTTTGTGAAAATGTAAGCTATCAATTTGTTTTTACTCTACTCAAATCCCTCGCATCTGTTGTTAGCTTTACCTTACCGGCAATTTTCCACTCTCTTCACCCTGTCTGCGGAATAATTTTCCCCTCTGACACCCAAGCTAAAATATAATTTTGGGACACTGCTGCAGATCTCCGGCATCGCGCTGGTCACGCTGGGGGCCGTCATCAAGGGCTACTACAACAAGTACCTCGACTTCCTCGGCGATGGCGTCGTGGGCGCGCCCATTCTGCTCATCATCGTCGGTGTCGTCATCTTCTTCGTGGCGTTCATGGGCTGCTGCGGCGCCATCCGGGAGAGCTACTGCATGACGATGACGTTTGCCGTACTGCTGGCACTCATCTTCATCCTGGAGCTGGCGGCCGGCATCACGGCCTACGTGCTGAGGGACGACATCCGCACCACGCTCAACACAAACATGCAGGCGACCATGCAGAACTACGGCAAGGACGACTACGACGGCGTCACCAAGACTTGGGACGGTGTGCAGATGGAGGTGAGTCCGCAGCCCGCCGGCCGGAGACGGCAGCTGAGGCGAGGGGTCACACACGATGGTCCTCACTGTCAGTCGGGGTGCGATAGGAGTCCTCTGAGAGCTGTTATACGGCTAGATATGTCGTGTCATGTCATCTTTTCAGCTAAATGTCTTAGATGTGAGATGATGTTACTATGATAAAACGTGTCGGATCAATGGAATGCTGCATCTCATGATGAGCGAATTACAGCAATACTGAGGACTCTTAGCGGGCCTTGACGCTTCCCTCACTGGATTTAAAGTGATCATCGGGCGGGGAGGGCAGGGGAGGGGGCCGGTTCTTCCCTTGTCTGTCGGTGGTGCGGGGCCGCTCGCCAGGCCGACTGCTCAGCTAACAGCTGCACGGCGCGACGGCCGACGCTTTCGTCGCACCGCCGCCGATACCCCGCTCACGGCCTGTCCACCGTGTGGAAATGTGGATGTGGCCTCGCGCGCGGCACGTGTCATACCGCACCGGTCCGGCTCGTCGGTCTCGGCTTGACTGGCTACCCCGTCCCTCCTTGGCTCCGTGGGAATTTCGGCGTTTGTCTCTTGCCGTGAAGCTCCGTGAGGTTCGGCTTGTCTCGATGGCGCCTCTGTTGCGTCCGCGGCGCTTTGCTGTACCTGTTGCGGCATGTCGTGACCAGTCGGCGGGTTTCGTGTCGCCCGTCCCCGTCACCAGTGATAGTGATTCATTGCCGTGTCGTTTTTTCCGTCCACCGCCGCTGCCGGAGCCGTCATACGGCCTCCGCGGCGAGCGCGGCTGTCCCGGGACGGTCCCTGCTGGGGCGGCGGGCCCGCGGCGTACCGGCGGAGCCCGCTGCCGCCGCCCCTGCCATCGATCGACCCGCACGTGCTGTGGGCGGCCACACCTGGCGCTCGGCCGACTGACAGACACCTGTGGGGCCGGCCGAGCCGAGCCGGGACCGGAGGGCCGCCTGGCTGCGGGCGGGGCGGGCCGGGCCGCGCCCGGACGTCGCCCTCTGACCCGACCTGACCTCGCCTCGCCCGAATTGGTGACACTTGTGTGGCGCCGGGTGATCGACGCCACACAGGTGGAAAACGGTCCATTTTTGGTCAGGAGCCGTCGTTTGTTCTATAGTATGATTGAATGCTTCTTGAAATCGGATGTAGGGCATTTTCTTTTTGTCTAACAATTTTGTGCTGATTTTACACTAATCACACTTCGGCAATGGGCTCACTCCATAAACACATCCCATTATTTGTTACTAGTCAGACAACCAGAGCATGTTTTTCACCCTAATACTGTTAGGTTGCTGGGTGCCTGTGATCGGCTGGCGCAATGTAAACCAATCGGATAAACGCAATGGAGTCCGGGGCCGTTCCAGGAGCTTGAGTGGCTGCGAACAGCAGAACTAAACATCAATTCCGCGTTACAAGCAGTCGTATGCAGGTGATGACTAAATCAACTCCGGGAACTTTATGTTTACCGAACTTCTGGCGAGGTCTCTAGTTCCACTTTGTTTAAGGACGGACGAGCGAGGACGTTGCATGTTAAATGGTCGGGTGAATTGCTGCGAATTCTATGTTACTTTGTTAGTGGTGGTGCGGGGAAGTCGCGCACTCAGGAACTTGGGTTGGCCTGTTCTCTGCAATGGTTCACATCGCCCGTCGATTGGCGCACTATCGCTGTGTGCACGGATGCGGTGCTCGTTCAAATGGCTCCATTCACCGGTGGCACCAGCCTGTTGCTCTCCGACCCCGGCTCGTCGGCTCAGGCTGGCGTGTTATTTTGCCCCTAGTGGGGGCGGGGAGGGATGGTTCGCGGAGGCGCACTATGGCGCACTTCCTTCAGACGTCACGCCCGCCCAGCAGAAAAGTTCGTTGTATAATCCAGTCATGACTCAGTCGCATGTGATGAACAGACCCCAGCAAATAACACAGAGCCACTGCGACGGTAAGAGCAGCTCGTTCTTTGCCAGTTTGTTCTTTGAAGTCCGCTAGCATGTTGATAAGCTGAGTGTTTAAAGCGGAATCATCTTTTAGTTTTACTTCAAAGTATGAAAATATTTGTTGAACTTACATGCTGAGCTAATGCTCACTGGCACAACTGCACGTTGGTAACAAGTAGGTAATTTGATCATTTTGATTCTTATTTACATGTAGGCAGTAGGTAATTAACAATATTTAAAGCAGCGACCTTGTTAGTCTGTTTTTACCACCAGGGCTGTTTTTGAAGCCTTACTGCGGAATCGGACAGCACTTATGGCTGTAAGTTTTCAATTGTTTTGGTCTGATTTTGCCGCCGCTAGCGCCCGGAAAAGTACAAAAGAAGAGTACAGCCTGTCGCCAGTCGTGTGCGCCGCAGTTATGAAGTTTGAGTTGTCATTGTCTGATGGCTGCTGTCAGCGACCTCATCACCGCTGCAGTAGCTTGCCAGCGGGACTTTCCAGCGGGTTTACTGACCGAATCGCCACCGAATCGACCGCCCCTGTCAATAACGCCGGGCGATTCGTTATTCGCGGAAGAATGGCCGTCGGGCAGAAGGCCGCCTGTGAACGTTCAACGAATCTGTGCACCGTAACTAACGTGTGGGCCGCACGGCCTGTCCAGGACCAGTCACGGAACACGAACGTAAGGACAGGCGAGGAGCGGACCGGCTGTGCCACCACAGCAAGCGAGCGCCGAGCGGCTCGCGCGTTCGAAGGCCGACCGCCCGACGGAGCCGGCCGGCCGGCGGGCAGCGACCTTGGGCAAGGACACACAGCGGACCGACCCGACCGGACACCACCCGACTGACCCCTTCCGACCCCAGACGTGACACGAGACTGTCCGGGGTGACCGAGACCTGACCTTGACCGGAGCCGACCGCCAGTCGCCGCTTCGCTTGCTTACACCACTGCATGGCTTGCCGCTTGGGGCGACCGTGATGGGCTTTGTGTCGCACAACACGACACGCTTTGTTGCTTTGGTTGTGTGGTCGGTGTTGTGTCTCCCTTTTTGTTTTGCTTCTTGTAGTTGATATTGTTTTGTTTCATTTTCATGCTGACTTGACTGTTGTGACTAGGCTTGCTTGTTCTGCATCCCCCTTCCCTCTAGCCCCTCGAATCCCTCTGGTTGGTCCCCACATTCCCGCTGCCTCGGGACTTGTCCCTGGCGGTGGCACCTTTTTTTTCTTTCTGGTACCCAGGGGCTTTGCGCCGGGATTTGACAGGTCCGGGAAAACTATTTTTCATGGCGTCATAAAGCTAATTTTGATTTGTAGGTACTTTATTTGTTGTGTTACTATATAGTTGTTAATTTATTTCATTCGCCTAGTTTGTTTCTGAATGTGTTGTCATCACTCTTCCCTATTTTGTACTCCAGTCATGTTCGTCAAACTCCTTTTCGTTATTGCCCTTTGCCTCCCTGTAGCTCAGTTCAGAGTGTTTGCTTTTTCTGTATTTGGTTCTTTGTTAGCCGAGTTTGTTTTGCCGTCAATGTTTATTCAGTCGAATCGGCACATGTTCTGGCCTTTGTTAGTGTTAGTTGTTGGGTGGGTGACTGATGTAGACGTAGAATCGATGTAGACGGCCAAGTAAACGGCGTTGGCTTCTCCCTCTTCCAGTTCCGATCCACTCTAAAAGTTCTCACATGGTTGCGACTGCTTTGCCCACATCCCAACAGGCACATTTGGATACGGATTGTAAGCGCTCCTAATCGAAACGCGTTTGCTAATTTGATCGCTTGTTTCCAGACATTCCTTTAATTGAAGATAAACTTAGTTTATGATCGCATATTGTTATTTGCTTGTTCATCCGTCAAAAAGACCGGCTGGTTTTAGTCGTTTTCATATTTTCTTGCTTAAAATGAACTATTTGTAGCACAAAGCTGGCATATGTCAATTGCCATTACTTCCAACGTAGGCTCCAGAATATGGTATTTATTTTGAATAAAGTGCCACAAAATTTCGCGTTCGGATGTTTGCTTTATATGCTGGTTTTGGTTTGGTGGGTCACTATTGCCGTTCGTCCCGTTTTTAATTTGCCGTTTTTTTTTCGGACGCCTACCATTCGCCTCCACTTTCGCACCTCAGGACTAGTTGGCCTTCTGGCCATTTCCCCATATCTCCTCGCCTTCCGTGGCCTCCGTAGCTCTCCCATCCCTGCCGCTCTCGAGGGGACCGCCGCATGTGCCTGCCAGAGCTCCGCCGCCGCCGCGCCGTACGGCCCCGACCTGAGACTACCCCCGCCACCCCCACCGACCGGCCGCCCTGTGACCGGTGACCCGACCCGACCCGACCCGACTGCCAGGCCGACTGTTGCGGCGCCTTCAACTACACCGAGTGGGCGGACGTCGAGTACGGCAAGTCGGGCGACGTACCCGACTCGTGCTGCATCAACAGCGTGGAGGGCTGCGGCGCCGGCGTGCTCCTCATGTCGCCCGAACAGGCGGCCACTGTGGTGCACACGCGCGGCTGTGTGCCCGTCATGCTCGGCGTGGTGCACGATAACTGGGTGTGGCTTACCGTGGCGGCCGCCGTGCTCGTCGCAGTGGAGGTGAGTACGATAGGGGAGAGGGTAGGAAGACAGAGGGAAAATGTGGAGTGTGGGTCATAGGTGGAAGGTTTTGTGGAAGTATGGGAGGTGATGTGAAGGGAGTGATTGTTGGGTGTAGGCGTTTTTGTAAAATGTGGAAAACTGTGAGGGTACGTCGTGATACATTGTGAGGAGAGAGTAATTTGTGGGCGTGATGTTCGTATGCATTGGCGGATCTAGGGAAGGGACATTTGGGGCAAATGTCATCTCCCCGCAACGCCCGAATTCGGCGAAACTTTGCGGTTTTTCGAGATAAAACGCAGACTAAACAAATTTTATTAGAAAAAGTTTGTTTTAAGTTACACAGCAGTGTGTAAGGAATCGAAATCCGATGAGTTTTTGGAATGTGGAGAAACTTTTTGGGGTGTGCCCCCCCCCCCCGGCCCCATCCACCCCACCCCCAGCACGCGGCGTCAAAGACCGTCTTTCTGGATCCGCCAGTGT